ATTTGGTTAATATCTAAATGTAATTTTATATAAATTCATAATATATTTCACTCAGTCTCCCATAAAAACCTGTGAATAGGCCTATAACTGCAGCAGGTCATATACTTGTCATAATTGATCCAACTAAGTGTATTTTTAATTTTTCAATTCACAAAAACTCATAGTCTTTTGTAGGCTGAGTGAAGCCAAACTGAATATCTACAGACATTTTAATCCGTGCAGATCTACACTGTAGCGTTTATATTTAAATGAACAAAAAATTAAAAAATTGTCAAGTCTATGGACGAGTTATTAATGTGCACGCGTCGATTTAATTGTTATTTCGCAGTGTATCCCCCTACTGGACGCATCAGGAACAACAGGGGCGTAAAACTGTCAGGGGCGCAAAACTGCCAGGGGCGTATATCTGCCGGCTCCAGGTCTGCAGCCTCCCCATATAGACATTACGGGGGGAACATGAATTTACAAAAGTGCATGGATGAAGCATTCATAATAATATTCCATTAAAAATTTGATTTGTTCATTTTGATTTCATGGTGACCTAAACATGTTTCCCTCATTTCTGAGGAATGTGTGTGGAGGATGTGACAAGTGTGATCAGATAGCCTCGGGCTCACCCTGTGCCGTCAGCTATCATTAGCTGTCACACGTACGTAACGGAAAATGTGACGAAAGGCACAGCTTAACTCTGTAGATTTAGTGCTTTCATTCTGTATCCATGATTTAGTTCCGTGGACATCTTTCAAGGGAGGAAGCTGTCGGTTAGCATTGCCATTCATCTTAATGGCACTTGCCTAGGACAATCCCTTACCCCACCGGTAGTATGGCAGCTCATGGGTGCTCCGTTCTGCTGTCAGTTTTTTTTTTTTTTTGGAGACAATCACCTGAACCTCAGATGTGTTAAGTAGAAAAAGTCACTATTCATGAGGTATTAAGAAGAAACCCAATCCCTCCACTAGCAGCTCTTCTGATCTGTGACGTCAAAGGCAGCAGATAGGGACAAATATAAATCCATTTCATGCCTTTAGAGCCCTTCAAATAAGTTAGGAAAGGTGGCATCTACTGTAATTAATCAATAAAAATTAGGAATATATATGTTTGTGAGGTTCTTATCAGTCCGAACATGGTGCTGCTTTTGAATGGCCGTCAAATGAGAAAGATGCTTTTTGGAGCCAGATGGCATCTACCAGCAGGAGCTAACAGGCCAAACCTTGACCTCTTGGAAATTTCATGTTAGTTAGTAAAATGGATTGAACCTGCCCCATTGCAAGTTTCTTCTCATTCTTAAAGCTTTAGACTCCCCATTAAAAGCTTGAATATATTCCATTTTAAAGTTATGCATTAGATAAGGTTGATGTCACAAATTTAGACTTTCCTATGGAAGGCTACATATTGTAGAGTCAGTATATCTATATATTTGCTATATTTTGCATAGCTGTGTTTCCTGATACAGTAGTAGTGGAAACTTAAAGCAGTGTCCTGAAGAAATTAATACTTTTATTGACAAAGGATGCATTAAATTGATCAAAAGTGACAGTAAAGACATGTGTAATGTTACAAAAGGCTTCTATGTCAAATAAATGCTGTTCTTTTGAACTTTCTATTCAACAAAGAGTCCTAAAAAAATGTATCATGGTTTCCACAAAAATATGAAGCTGCACAATGGTTTTCAATATTTGTAACAATAATAAATGTTTCTTGAGCAGCAAATCAGTAGCTTGGATGCCAGCCGAACTTAGCCCCGCCCACAACATTTGAGGTCGGGAAGTTCATATTCTGACTAGAATCTGAGTATGATGACGTCAGGCTAGCAAATCAGCATTAGAATGATTTCTGAAGAATCATGTGACACTGAAGACTGAAGTAATGATGCTGAAATAGAAAACAATATTTTAACAGTCATTTTAAATTGTAGGAATGTTTCACAATATTATTGTTTTTACTGTATTTATGATTGAATAAATGCAGCCCTCGTGAGCATAAGAGACTTCTTTCAAAAACAAACAAACAAAAACAAACTTACTGACCCAATCTTTTCAATGGTAGTGTAAATTAATGGAAATGGTTAGAAATATTCCCTTGCATATAGATTTTAACCTAAAATGTTGATGTTGAACAAGAAAAAAAATTGTATTTGCCATTTACCTTCATACCAGTTTTTATATTAACATTTAATTGGCATGGAATCCAAGCACAGGGATTTTTTACAGGTAGTTTTATTACTGTAAAGAGATGGGATAATACTGATTCTGCTGTGAAATATTGATTTGACAAGCGTGAGGGGCTGAAGCAGGTTATTAGCACAGGCGGCATCAGAGGAGGCTGTCAACCAGATATCATTGCTAAACTAAGGTCATGAAAATGCATGCATACATATTCAGTTTATTGTAATGTGCTTGCATCATCTTCATTTACATAGCCCACTTTTGCAAGGCAAATGTTGTGCTGAAATGGGCAACAATGGTTTCCTAGTGAACATGCTTAGATTCAGCCCAGCACTTTTATTTAACACTGCTCAACCAGCATGTCTGTTGAAAAACAGTATGTGACAGGACTGTAGTTAACACCACATCCTAATAACAGAGGTGCACTTCACAGCTTTGTCAATGGACTCATTTTCCTGACAATACACAGACAAAGTCTGCTCTATATTTGATGTTGCTGTATGCATACTTGCATGCATTAAAGGTTTTTCCAGCACAGAGGGTGATTAGTATGGAAGCTTGTTTCCGCCACTGAATGAAAAATAAAAAAGGTAATTGTGACTTTTTATCTCACAATTCTGACTTTTTTTCCTCACAATTGCGAGTTTACATCTCACAATTCTGACTTTATTTTTCAGAATTGCTTGATATAAAGTCAGAATTGCTTGATATAAAGTCAGAATTGCTTGATATAAAGTCAGAATTGCGAGATATAAAGTCAGAATTGCGTGATATAAAATCGCAATTGCGTGTTATAAAGTCAGAATTGCGAGATATAAAGTCAGAATTGCGAGATATAAAGTCAGAATTGCGAGATATAAAGTCAGAATTGCGAGATATAAAGTCGAAATTGCGTGTTGTAAAGTCAGAATTGTGAAATATAAACTATTCTGAGGGGGAATTTTTCCCCCTTAGAATTGGCCTGATAACTCGCAATTGCGAGTTTATATCTCACAATTCTGAGAAAAGATGTCAGAATTTCGAGATATAAACTCGCAATTATGTGTTAAGTCAGAATTGCGAGATGTAAACTCGCAATTGTGAGAAAAAAAGTCAGAATTGTGAGATAAAAAGTCGCAATTCTGTGTTTTTTTCTCGCAATTGCGACTTTATTTCTCATAATTGCGACTTTATATCTCGCAATTGCGACTTTATTTCTCAGAATTGCGACTTTATATCTCGCAATTGCGACTTTATTTCTCACAATTCTGACTTCATATCTCGCAATTGCGACTTTATTTCTCACAATTCTGACTTCATATCTCGCAATTGCGACTTTATTTCTCACAATTCTGACTTCATATCTCGCAATTGTGAGATAAAAAGTCGCAATTATTATATATATATTTTTTTATTCAGTGGCGGAAACAAGCTTCCATAGATTAGTGACCATGTCTTGAAACACTTAGTGTTTAGGGAGTTTTAGGGGAATTATTTTGAATAATATCAAGTTTTTTAGAGGTCAAATAAACTTTTCATTCTGGAAGTTGCATTTAGACTGTGACACCATAAGCTTTGACAGGATGTTTGTACCGTATCTATGTATGCATACATCACACCCATAAACACCACAGACGCTGACATTTAAATAGCATAGGCAGACTTCCTGCTTTTCAGAGAAGAGTATGCACTTCCGCTGAAGGATAAAGTATTTCATTGCACATCTTGTATCACTCGCAATAAGCGCACCCACTCTAGTGCCGCGTACACAAAAGAAGCGTTGCGTTCTCTGCCACCCCTACTAGAAGATCATAACACGCTGCGGTAAGCTAGGATGCTGGAAAGACATTTGTGTAGGATCTTCTTCATTGTTGGGCTGTAGAAAACATGTTTGAAAATGTACACTGTTTGAAGTTAAGATCTCAGAGGTGTGCGTTAGCAAATTTGCAGATATTGTTTTGGAAAATGCATATCTGGCAGATATGGTGTATTTATGGGTGGGATTGGAAGTAATACTTATAGTATTAAAGTGACAGTAAAGACTTAATTGTTACCAACAAAAAAACTTTTTCAAATAAATGCTGTTCTCATGAACTTTATATCCATCAAAGAATACTGAAAAAAAAGTGTTCCATGGTTTTCACAAAAAGATTAAGCAGCATTACCATTGACTGAGCTAATATGACATTTCTTTGTGTGCCGAATCAGGATATTAAAATTATTTCTGAAGGATCATGTGGCACTGTAGACTGAAGAAACAGCTGCTGGAAATTCAGCTTTGCCATAACAGGAATACATTACATTTGAAAAAAATATTGAAATTCAAAAGAGTAATTCTAAATTGTTGTAATATATATATATATATATTTTTTTTTTTTACAATATTACAGTTTTTACTGAATTTGTGATTAAATAAATGCAGCCTTGGTGAGCGTAAGAGGTGTCTTTCTTTTGAACAGTAGTTTTTAGAATGTTGATAACATGTTGAGAATTATGAAAAATATATTACAGATCAGATACTTACTGTAGAAGATTGTTATACTTCACCCACAATTGTGGATTAACTTGACACAGCTGTGGCATCAGTAGGCAGTGGCCATTCAGATTGTTAATGCGTTCCTACGAAACTTGTTGATATGAACACAAACTGTTGTTGTATGTCATTTGAATCTATATGTAGTGAAAATAAGTGTTATGTAATTGCTTTATGTGTGTTCAAGTGTTGTATGTTACTACATTGAAAAGGGAAGTGGATTCACCCTCAGAGAATCAGTTCATTTTATGCTTCCATCCCCCATCTCTCTTTCTTCTCTCTGGCATTTTGTAACCTACTTGGTGTTTTATGTCTCTCTTTAGCGGAGCTCGATACAGAACATGCCCAGAAAGTCCTGGAGATGGAGCATGCGCAGCAGGTCAAGCTAAAGGAGCGACAGAAGTACTTTGAAGAGGCATTTCAGCAAGACATGGAGCAGTACCTCTCCACAGGATACCTCCAGATCACGGATAGGAGAGGTCAGTTACCTATTTTATAAGGACCACTTCTGCACATATTTGTTCAAATGCTTGAAATTGATTTGTTTATGCTGCCAACAACACTTTTACTATTCATATTTACTCTCCTCATGTAGTGCAATGTGCATTTAGTGGGACAGTGAGCAATGGTTTAGCAGTCAAAATGCAATGTTCTCTTTTGCATAGTAACCTTCAGAAAATAGCAGCAAAATAGTTTGAATCACAGCTGCTCTATATGATGTGCTGCTCCCGGCTCTGTCCTTCCCTTTATGAATTTTTAAACATACTGTTACTGTGTGTTAAATGGGAGGTTAAAGAGCTTATGCAAGGATGTTGATGGTCTTCTCTTTCCTCTCTCCTGCCTTAAATGCTGCCCTGATGTGTGAGGTATGCTTTCCCATGCATCCCCCGTTCTTCAGGACATCTTCTTTTTCCCAGCCTCTTCCATCCATGTCAATATATGAATTATATTGTGAAAATTGCTTGTATGTTCCTGAACTAAATCTGCTGTTCTGTAGGTTTTAAAGCGATCAGCTGGTTTGGTGTTAGGATTCACAAAGTTGAAGTAATTGTGGTTTGTTTTCTTTCGTCTTCTGGGGCAGATCCAATAGGCAGTATGTCCTCAATGGAGGTGAATGTTGATCTGTTGGAACAAATGGATCTCACAGATGTGTCCGACCATGAGGCTCTCGATGTCTTCCTCAGCTCCGTAGGTGAAGAGAGCAGCGCTCTCTCTCCTGACACAGGTCGGTTGTGCTGTTAATGTAATACACTCTTAAATGATGATGTTTTGAAAACAACACAACACAGTGCGTGTTTCTTAACGCACTTTTGTGTCTAGATAAGGACAACACATTTTGTGTTACTTTTAAGTCAACCAATGTGTTATTCCTCTTTACATGGAAAGTATGTTGAAATCTTTAAATCTATTATAGTTAGACAATTTGTCAAATAGGTTATTTTTGATCCATTTAAAACAAATATTGTATGCAATAAAACATGTAGTTTATATAGAATTTATTAACCCTGCATTTACATAAATCAAATTTCAAAAATAGGCAAAATTAAAAAAAAAGTGAACAATTAAATTAAAGTAATTTAATCATTAACAATGCTGTTTGATTGAAAGTGTTCTTGAATAGTTAACGGTTAATTAAGTTTGTACTTTGAATTAAAAAAAGATTTATTTGACAGCATCTTAAACATTAATCATTTTTATTTACATATTTGTTCGAGTGCATAACATACATTACAAGTATGAAGGTCGGTGAGATGAAGCCTCTCGTGTATCTGCCTGTCACCGTCAATAACTGCCACAGGTGCTTTAGGGACTTACCATTCAAAGCTGTAAGGGGGCAAATAGAGGCACATTTGTTATTTATACACACAACGAATATACCAAGCTAATGTTAGCTAGAATGCCAAGAAAAACTTAAGGGTAAGATATAATGTTAACTTCTTGGGTCATTTTGCACAGTACGTGGCACTGTGAGCTCAGTTCATTTGTGACAGAGAGAGATGATGCGGTAAACGGCACAGTGAAATTCCCTCATGTGAATCAGGGCATGGCTACAGCATGTCACTGATTAATTAGAAGCTATTCCACTCACAATAAATCTAACAAAGGAAACCATAAAGCTTGTTAAAATGAGTCCCCACCACCGAAAGTGTGCAGCGTTGGCTGTCATAAGGTAGTTTGTGACTTCAGAAACACCAGTGATTTCAAACTGCGTTTTTGAGACTGTCTTTGGTTCACCGCAGTTATAAGGAGAAAAATGCTCAGCAATGGTGATGACTTATGAATTTGCACATGGTTAGTCTTATCTCTAAATATTATTTTTAGTAGTTTTATAAGAACAACAAACATAAACAAACATACCCCCCTCCCCCCAAAAAACAGACAACATTACAAATGACATAAGTGCTTAAATAAAGTACAAAGGAGAAAGATAAATCACGTAAAGAGGGGCATCGAAATCAAAATCATAGTAACAGATGTGTTAAAATCTCTAAGTTCTGCTATCATGTAAATGTTGGAGAAAGGGACCCCAGACATTGGGAAAATTAATACGAGACTTTGCTTCAATAAACCCTCTTTTTTCAAGGTTTAAGACAGACCATCTCAGTAAGCCTCTCTGAAAACATGAAACATGGGGGAACAGTGGCTTTCCAATCCCTTATTATAATTCTCTTGGCCACAACCATTCCCAGCATTAATGCCAGCGGCAACAAAATATGGTAAAGAGGAAACAGTGTCTGAATAGCCAAAGATGGCCAGTTCCATTTCAGGAGAGAAAGTTTGATCATATACCGCCGAAGACCAATAAAAAATATCTTGCTAGTAACTCTAGAGTTTCAGGCAGAACCAAAAAGAATGAGATAAAGTTCCCTCTGCACCCTGACATCGGTCACAAATTGGAGACACAGCTGGGTAGAAGTTTGGATTTAGAATAGTGCACAGGGCCTGAATTTCGTTTTGGAAAATGGGGGGGGAAATCCCCCCTTAGATGATTCTCATGGGGGGATTTTTTTTTGTTTGAGGGGGAGAAAGGGGGGGGGGGGGGGGAGAATGTAATAATAACAAAATTATTACATTTATCTTGCCTAAATGTTTGCGCTCATTGCATTTTTACAATGGGGTTGTAAATTTACACAACACAAGCTTGATTTAAATTGTTTAACTAAATTGAAAAAAGTAGCACAAATAAATACAATAGAATAAAGATACGAATAAAGACAATTAAACAGAAAAGTTTTTCAATGGGTCTAACACTAGTATTCATATACAGAAAATAAAGTAATCAAATGGAAAATAACACTGGGTAGTATTTTAGTCCTGAATAAATTAAATACATAGGCTATTAATCCTGATTCCTTTAACTTAAAGCTATCTTTTGTTGATTTTTTAATGGTAGATTTAAAGGGTTAGTTCACCCCAAAATGAAAATTCTGTCAGTAATTACTCACCCTCATGTTGTTCCAACCCCGTAAGACTTTCGTTTATCTTCAGAACACAGATTAAGATATTTTTGATTAAATCTGACAGCTGGATCACTCTTCCATAGGCTTCTTAAGGGATCGAAACTGGCCGGCCCAAAAGTTATGAAAGACATCGTTAAAATAGTCCAAGTGACTACAGTGGCTCAACCTTAAGTTTATCAAGCGACGAGAATACTTTTTGTGCGCAAAAAACAAACAAAAATAACGACTTTATTCAACTATTCATTTCCTTCTCTGTTGGCCTCGAGATTTCACGTAGTGAAACTGCGCAAAGCTTCTGTGTTGCATGTCACACGCATCACACACATGACCAGCGTCGGCCAATAGTGAGCCTGCGTGTGACGCAGAACCGTCGCGCAGTTCCACTACGTGAAATCTCACGGCCCATAGAGAAGGAAATGATTAGTTGAATAAAGTCGTTATTTTTGTTTGTTTTTTTGCGCACAAAAAGTATTCTCGTCGCTTGATAAACTTAAGATTGAGCCACTGTAGTCACTCGGACTATTTTAACGATGTCTTTAACTTTTCTCGGCCGGCCAGTTTCGATCCCTTAAGAAGCCTATGGAGGAGTGATCCAGCTCTCAGATTTAATCAAAATATCTTAATTTGTGTTCCGAAGATGAACGAAAGTCTTACGGGGTTGGAGCAACATGAGGGTGAGTCAATAATGACATAATTTTCATTTTGGGGTGAACTAACCCTTTAAGGCTCTTTATCGCAGCCATAAAGTTAAGCTTATATATGTCTTTTGGATCTGAGGAAATAACCAATTGTAAATAAGTAAAATGATCCCGAATAATTTTAAAAGGGAGGGACAGGAAAATGACTGCCAAGAGGAACAAAGATGTTTTTATTCCAGTTAATTGAATACCTGGAAAAAGAACCAAAATGGTTTATTAAATCCATTAAAGGGGGTAAATAATTAATGGCGTCTTTTAAAGTAACACTATGTAGTTTTTCAACCTTCATAATATATTTCCAAGACCCTTGTGATGGTACATCGACTTAAAATAAGTTAAATGACACGTCTGCCATAGCCTGACGTGGTCTGTATCGGCTTTACGGCATACGTCACTTCCCCCACCACTTCCTCAAATTGTCTGTGGCCATTGCAGACATCCCAAGTCTCCCGGGAGTCTCCTGCGTCTCCCTGATGCCCGCAAATTAGTTCAGATCTGCCGGAATCTAGAGCGCGCATGGGAGACAGAACATACTGCGCGCATAACATACATAGCGCGAGCACGGCAGAGAGAGAGAGAGCGAGAGACCTTGCGAGTGTGCCTCACGAAAGCTAGTCAACCCGCCACCAGCCGCACCCCCCCCCCCTACCTCCCTGAAATTACTTCTTGCAGGTTGGGATGTCTGCCATTGTTGATTCCAAAGCCGGTGCTGGATAAACAGCGAGCGTGCGCGTGCGACAGTCGGCTGCGGAAGGCTAAATTATTTACGACAGCAGTAATGGACAATTCTGCTTCCAACCTGTAGGGCGACCGCTGAGGAAAAATCACATGGTGTTGCTTTAAGAATAAAAGCATATCATCCGCATTTAAAGAAAGTCTGGTCTCTACAGACCCAATTGTAATGCCACTAATAGAAGAATGGTGCTGAATACTTATAGCCAGTGGCTCCAGAGCCAGATTAAATAATAAGGGACTAAGGTAACAGCCCTGTCTTGTCCCACGATAAAGAGGGACATAGTCCCTGGTAAGTATTGCAGATTTTGGGTTTGCATAAAGCATCTCAATATATGTACGAAATTTTTTACCAAACTTATCTAGCACTGAATATAGATATCACCACTTGATCTGATCGAAGGCCTTCTCTGCATCAAGTGAAGTAATGGCTGCCCCAGACCGCTGAGAGCCTACACTATACATAACATTTAACAGGGGTTGAACATTTGAAAAATAAAATCTACCCAAAATAAAACCAGTCTGATCATGATGAATTAATGAAGCAATGTGTTTGCTCAGACTGATGGCCAAGACTTTGGCAACAATCTTCTGGTCTCAATTAAGCAAGCTCAATGGTAGCTGGAAGGATCTGTCATGCCTTTCTTTTTTCAATTATAAACAAATGTCCGCCGCGTTTTAGAATTAGGGAACAACTTATTTTTAAAAGAATGATTTATCATTCTAAGCAATAGTGGGGCAATTATGTCTGCATGAGCTTTATAGAATTCAATACAGAACCGATCAGGCCCTGAGGCCTTACTGTTTGAAAAGGACTTGATAGCCTTCAAAATTTCATCCAAACTGAACTCTTTATCCAGCTTCTCTCTGGCAGCCTAAGCTTTGGAATGTCAATAGTATCAAGAAAGTCAGTAATATCTGAGTCAGGCACATTACATTTTGAAGTGAAAAGATACTTATATAATTCTTGAAAGCAGGCATTAATTTCCTTTGGCTTAGTTAACAGCACAGCAGACCTAGATTTAATTTGAAATCAAGCCGGTATTATGCCTCTAATATGCCGCTATTAGCCGGTATGCCCAGTTGCACATGGTTTGTCTGAAAGCATATTAAAAACACCACATAGACATATAAACATTAAACACTTGATTTTCAACGCAGGGGGACTTTAAGTACATCAACAAAGTAAAAATACTTTCCACCACTACCCTGTATATGTGTAAAATCCTCCTTGACCATCTACAAGTGATCACAAAAGACATTTCTGTTAGGACCACTATCGTCAAATACGATTGACAATTAGCATACACTTTGGATTGGCGGTATGGTTCTGTTCTGGGCGAGAACTCCCTGCGCATCCATGCAGCCTAGCATAGATAAGAGCAGGGAGAGCAGCAATAACCCCCCTTAGGGTAAACAGAACAGAACCAACATGACTGTATACAGATATCATTAATTCAAGATTTTAAAGTACAACATAATTCGAGAATTTATTCTGATTCAAGGGGAATCAGAATACCAAATCCTGACTAAACGAGGGGAGGAGCTAGGGATGGAGGAGAGTAATTGTCTCCTGAGAAATGTGATAGCTGCTGATAATACCGAAGGAGCTTATATATGGATGCTGTGATAGGCGTCGTATTCCTATAGGTAGACGGGGATCAGCTGCGAGTCAGCTGATGCGAGCTTGACTAACGTGACCTGCCAGAGCTAACCCTACACTTGATTTTTGAAAGCCTCTTAATTCCAAATACAGCCATTTTTCTTTCCTCCATGCAGATATCCACCTATGATGACTTGCTCATGAGAAGAATAACAGCTCACGAAGTTACACAAAGCAGCAGTGTGATTGGATGATAATAACACATATTGTGTTGGACACATGTGCATTTTTTCTTTTTTTGTTGTTTAAACACATTTAACACAAAATGACACAACATGTTAAAATAGTCCGAAAATGTGTTAGGAAATAACATTGTTTTTGAGAGTGTACTTTAATACAGTAATTAATAATTGTATTTATGTTTTTTAAATACAGTTATTTACATGGGTAAAACAGGACAGTGGTTATGCAGAGCTGTGTTGTTTGTGCAGGTATATAAACAGAGAATGTAGTAAAATGTTCTAAGAATAATATATAGGAATTTAAGAATAATATAAAGTATTTATTGCATTCAAAGTCCAGAAAAGATCCAAAAATCTTATAAAGATGCCGTAAAACGAATCCATATGAATCTTTTACCAAGCCGTGAATAAATATGATCACTTTATATGATTAACAGATTGTGTATCATAAACAATGAGCGAAACACATAAATAGTATGATCACATATGGGAAACCTGAAAGCTAGTGCGTGCACCTTCAGAACCTTTTTGAATCTTTAAAGTTTTGGTTACTTCCAGTGTAGGGACAGAAACCTCACAGGTTTCATTAAAAATATCTTTCAAGTTTTGTTTTGTTTTAAATTAACCAAAGTCGTATGAGTTTGGAACGACCTGAGGGAGAGTACATTTTTCTCAGGATGTGATGCATATACAATGCATGATTAGAAATACACCAAATAAATGAAATATAAAACACTAAAAACCAAAACCAGTTGTTTTAAATGATACAAGTGAATTTAAGCATCACAGCATTATAATGTACAGTATAAAACAGATATTCATTTTGAGATTGGCTAAAGATTACATTTAACAGCATTATTAATTATTAATGATGATCTTTTAAGTGAGCATTATAGAAGACAGTGAAGAAAATCTAAATCTAAAATGTGCAATTCTCTAAAATGGAAACGGAAAATATGGTAGTTTTCAGCCGGCCTCAAGTTTGACCTTATTTAAAGCCATTTTGCAAAATACTGAAGATATTCCCTCTAGATCAGAGCAGACAAAGCACATAACTATAGAATTCTGAATGAGCATGTGAACGCCGTCAGCGTTAATCACAGGTTCGCGTTTAAAGTCTGATCATTTCGACAGAGGTGAATCAATCAAAGTTAACTTTAGCTGGAAGTAACATTATTCAAGAACCGCTATAACGCCAAAACAATCTGTTACCTTAAATTATATGTTTATCTCTGTAAAGCTGCTTTGAAACAATTCATTGTTAAAAGCGCTATATAAATGAAGATGACTTGACTTGACTTGACAATGCAAAAAGAAAGTGCAGATTTTGTCTGAGTGCTGGAATGACTGTGAACACGTGAGACTTTCATGGCATGGAAGTATTCAGGGTTGTGACTGCACTTTTAGGCTAATTCATTTTCTGAAATAGATGGTGTGACATATTTTCACCTTGTTGTATCTATTCAGCAGAAGGCCCAGCTCTGGAACCTGGCTCATCCCCATCAGACATCAGCCTGAAGGTGCCCTCACACACAGAGCTGCGGCAGACCGTGTCCTCCATCTCTTCCTCCTGCACCGACACCATCAGCGGCCTGACCGAGGGTCCGGATGAAGAGGATGGCAGCGAGGAAAGCTGCAGCGGAGACTCCCCACTGGTCCAGTCGGATGAAGAGGAGGTACATGCTGACACAGCCCTCATGGCCCTCCCAGAAACAGAGCCGCTCAAAAGCTCAGACGACAGCGACACACAGGCCGCCTAGTGGCCATGCTGAAAAACGCACTCGCTCAAGTTGGTTTCTGGACATGAAAACCTGTTTTACATCAGTGCCCAGACAGAAGGAGTGCTGATGTCCAGCCAGATGTTTCTTCATGGCTTAATGCGACACTTTGAGATGAAGGTTTTGGAGCCTTGTTGAACACTGTTTTTGCTCAGCCTTGAGAGCAGCTCTTTTCAGACTGTTAGCACTGTGATTTTTGCTTCATTCTTTCCCAATACAAATAAATCAACACAATGTATGAGACAATTCTTCGTATTACCTGCTGCATCAGAATTATATAGAAATTAATAAACATTTTACAGTGTTCCTGCTAATATCACTGATGTATGTTGCATGAATTTGTAATGCAGAGCTCATTTTTGAGCCGATTGAAAGACTCTTAAATAAAATATACCTTGAAATAAGATGGGCTTCACGGACATTCTCAGTGAAGGACTGATATTTCAAATCATAGTGATCTAAAGAACATATCTTCCACCAAAGATTTCACAGTCTCCGGTATAAAAATAGCTGGGAACATTTGGACCATCTGTGGTTGCAAAAATTAACAGGCTCCCTGTACAGCAAGCTGTTGCTCTGAAACCCTGTTACCTCTGGGGAAAAACTCTGAATTTTCACGGTACCTAGAGTAAGAATGAGGGTTTAAAAGGAAGAGTAAACTCTGACTGCATGGCTTTTAAAATGTTTCCAAGAACTAGGGATGTTCTGCCATTATTAGTGCACTAACGTTCAAAAGTTTGGGGTCTGTATGATTTTTTTTTTTTAATGCTTTTAATTATAATTCTTACTACTTTTAATTTAATAATTTAAATTATGCTCGCCATGTCTGCATTTATCTAAAAATACAGTAAAAAAAAAAGTAATATTGTTAAATAATATTAGAATTTAAAGTAACTGTTTTCTATAATAAAATACCATTTATTCCTATGATGCAAAGCTGAATTTTCAGCATCATTACTCCAGTATTAAATGTCAAATGATCCTTTAGAAATAATTATAATATGCTGATCTGCTGCTCAAGTAACATTTCTTATCAATGTTGAAAGCAGTTGTGCTGCTTAATATTTTTGTGGAAACAGTGACATTTGTGGTCAGGATTCTTTGTTGAATGTAAAGTTCAAAAGAACAGCATTTATTTGAATTTTTTGTAACAATGTATAAGTCTTTACTGTCACTTTTGATTAATTTAATGTATCTTTGGTGAATAAAAGTATTAATCTCTTTTAAAAAAAATACTGACCCAAAACTTCTGAACATTAGTTCTAAATACATATTCAGATATACAACACCACATTTTATAACATTAGTCAACATGAACTACCTATAAAAATACTTTAAAAGCATTTATCTTAATGTTCATTTCAACATATACTAATGCATTATTCAATTTAAAAGTTATATCAATTAATATTATTTAATGACCTACGCTAACATGCACAATGAACAGTTGCATTATTTAAGATTTATATATATATATATATTATATAATATATTTTTGTACATGCTTTTTCCTTTTTTTTTACATTCAAGAGGAATACAGTTCAAAGGAAATATTTTAAAACATTAATAATTTAATAGCACTGTTAAATGTAACCTTCAAATTCTAAAATGAATAGACTATTCATACTGGGTATCAATGTTGTAATGCCTAAATTAGCATTTAAAATGATTAAGTTTGTGTTCTGTATATTTTCTTACACAAAATTTATAGAATAGAATAGAATAGAATATGCGGGCGGGGGGATTGGATTTTGGGCATTTTATCAGTTATTGTCCTTAACATCAAAATAGTCACTGTTTGGTCACTGTAATATCTATGCATCTCCACTAAGAACATGAGGCCAGTACATTTTTGGAAGGATTGACAAATGATTTATTTAAAACAAATATACAAACCTGAAAATTAAAAAAAAAAAAGTAACCAAAAAGCCAATCTCCACTGGACTGGAGGACTGAGTAACAGTGCATACAAATAAACAGTACAAGGATCAGGAGTATCACTGTATAAAATGGGGTGAACAAAAGAAAACAAAACATTTTAAGGCCATAAAAAGTATACAACCACATTTTGGAAACACTTCAGTTTTTTTAACCTTAAATACAAGTTTGTCATTTGGAAAGGGGTGACTACCATGTTTGATTACAGGACTTTGATACAGTCAGTGCAATGGGTAGCTAGGCCTATGACATAGTTAAGTTTTGGGTAAAAGATTTTTCCTTTCGAATAAAAAAAGTAAAGCTAAAAAACTAGGGATCACCACTATGACATACTTCTCAGTGATTTAAGCAGCACTTATTTTTTGTATGTTTTTTGTAGCAACCCTGTTAACATCTAATTTATATCGATGAAGAAACCAATGTAGAAGTAAGGCTTTTTCTTCATCTCGAGACTCTCTCATCCAAACCCCTAGAGACCCGAACTCAAAGGCTCAATTTACTAGCATATAAACATATTTGGGGCTTTTCGTTGTTGTTGGATATTAGTATTTCGCAATAATATTCTATTAAAACAAAAGAATATTTTAAGATTTGATTCTTAATGGCAGAACAGGTGGAGAACCAATTACAAATATAAAGTCAGCGGGACAAAAGTTAGTGGGATAAAAGGGAAAGTGCATTTACAATTCAAATAGTACAAACTGCCTTCTGCATTAAACGTGTTATTTGTACTCCAAAGAATTTAGTAAAAGGCCTCAAAATGTGCTTTTAAAAGTGGGGAGTCTCCAGGTGGGAATTCGCGAAGGAAATCTCTGATCGGTACTGTCAGAAACGATCACGGGCTCCTTCACATGTCAGATCTATGTCAAAGTGTCAAGCCTGTACAGTTTTTTTTTTTTTTTTTTTTTTAGCTGTAGAACCGAAATGCCAGTAACTACGATACATGTACCATCTGACGTGTCGGCTGCAATCTTACATGTTCGCTCTTGTTCCTGACAGCATTAAGACGTAATAAACATGAGCCCAAGAGACAAACAGGCGGTAAGGGTGATGGAGAAAAGTGTCACTACAGCACCAGTTAAACACAAATGATAGGAATAGTATAGGATATATTTATATCTATGTATACGCATATCTATACTCGATTTAATGCTAAAACAACCCGAAAATACTCATCTAAAAACCAATCTCAATACTAGTGCAAAAGGTTTCGTGCTTGTTGAATGAGACCCAATAGTTTATGTCAGGTGCCCTAAACAGTTGTGTATTCGCCCCCTTGTATTTGCCGCAAAACACGATGGAACATTTAACCTCCGTACATTCAATATATTGGACTAACCAGCCAGTAACTACATGTATCTGTAATACAAAAGTGCAATATAACAGCTTGTTGTATTGATATTATACACTAGGTACAAAGAGTATTGAAGAGAGTTTGTACACAAGTATTAGGAACACCTGATATAAAAGGAGACCCGCAGGAATGTCGCTGACGGTCTGTTCTGGTTAGGAGCGGCCGCTGCTCTTTAAGGAGGAGCTGGAGAGGGGGACCAGCGCCGAGCTCTTGTTCCTGGGGCTTCGTTTTGCTGGTGTCTTGCTGGGACCGACGGCTTTCTGCTTCACTCCACCCTTCTCCAATGCTCTGCCACACACTCGATTTACCAGACTGTTGATCTGCTCCTGTGCAAAAGAGTGTGGGATGATTGATGTTACACATTTACTTTGAGAAGGTAATGCAAAACAGATGTACCGGAGTAGCATATTATTCAAAGTCTGCAGTATACACCGAATATTAATTAATAATACAATGCAATGCAATATCATGTTAGAAAATATATTTTTAACATTGTTATTCATTATTATTTTTCACAAAAATGATTGTATTTTTCTCTTGCCACTGGCTGAATTTAACATGGAATGGAATGAATTAAGTGAATTTATGCATCACAACATTAGCTAATCTCAAAATGAATGTCCATTTTAATACTGAACATTATAAAGATCACATTGTGTAAAATACATTTTTATTTATTTATTTATTTTATTTTTCGATGACAGCAAAGCAATGGGCATACACTACCGCTCAAAAGTACTTTTTTAAAAAGAAATTTATTTAAATTGAGCAAAAGTGACAGTAAAGACATTAACATTGTTACAAAAGATTTATATTTCAATAAATGCTGTTTTGTTTGAACGTTCTATAAGAAATGATTCTTGAGCACCAAATCAGCATATTAAAGTGATTTCTGAAAGATCATGTGACACTGAAGACTGGAGTAATAATGCTGAATATTCAGCTTTCCATCACAGGAATGAATTTACATTTAAAAAAATATTAAAATACAAAACAGGTATTTTTATATTTCTGTTTTTTGTCCATACAATGAAAGTCAATGCTGTATGGAAAAATTTCAATTTTGTCCTTGTTAGTTTTTTGCAGAACACAAAATCGGATATTTTGAAATGTCTCTTATTTTTTCTCCATACAATGAAAGTCAGTGGGGTCTAAAAAAATGAACATTTTATCATCAAATTTGGAGTTTTCTTCAGAATGCAAAATCTGATATTTTAAAACATATCTCTGCATATCTGTCCATATAAAGAAAGTCAGTGGGGTTCAGAAAATGAAAATTGTCATCAAATTTTGAGTTTTCTACCGAACGCTAAATCTGACATTTTTAAACACATCTCTGTATTTAACATTTTTAAATTATTTAAAATATTTCTCAATGTTACAATTTTCACTGTATTTTTTTTTTAATCAAATATAAATAAATAGTATCAGCCTTGGTGAGCATATGAGACTGCTTTTTTATATATAAAAAAAAAGAAAAAAAAAAAGAAAAAAGATTTTACTGCCCCCAAACTTTTGGACAGTATAGTTTATAATGAAATTTTTTTTTTTCAATTATTGATTTTAGTTTCTATTTTGTTTTAATTTTAATTGATTTTAGTTTTAATATGACTTAATTTTAGACACTACTTGCAAAAAGTAGTAATTCTATTCCAAACGTACAATGTACTCGATGTAGACAGTAAAGTACCTCAGTGTAACGAAACATCATCTTGAGGCCACGGGGGGACCTGCGCTTCTGGATGTATCGAAGAGCGCATTCCAGACAGAAAACCACATTATCACTCTCGTGAACAACCTGTTGAAGAAGACAGAGGGAGAGAATACAGGATATATGCTAATATGACCACTTATAGCGTAGCTAGAACAATTAGCCTGGGGAAATTCCTTCATAATTTAAGACAGACCACTCACTTAGGGTACTTCAACTTGTGATTATTCCTTTACACCCTGAAATGTAGAATATAAAGTGAGGAGTATTATTGAATATTTACCATAGAGAGGTAACACAGATGCTGGCACACTTGGCAGCGCCTGTCAGACGTGTCTTCTGTAAATCTCAAGCGTTGCTGCTGCTTCTTGTCTGCATGAGGCTCGCAGTGAGAGCCGTAGCGCGCAGACAAACGGAGCCCGGCCTCGAACAGATCCCCGCGCTGGCTAATCTCTGCATCCCTGAAAGAACGGAACAGGAATTTTACCCCCAATGTTGAAATAATGTGTTTACATTTTTTATTTCAAGATTTCATGATTATTTCATTATTTTCGATTATTTTTTAATTTTTGTAGTTTACGGTAATAACCATGATATGTGTCAGAAAAATAAAAATCAGAACTTTAATATCGATGAACCTCTAAAAACTCTTTTACTCAGCTCAACCAACCTCAATCAACAATGGTCATCAAAGAAAGGAATTCGATTTTGGCCGGGTTTCTGCCAGTTGAACTCAATAAGTCAAAACCAGACTGTAGGATGTGTTTCAGACAGACCTGAGATCTTTGATGAGACTGGAGACTGCATTCATGAGCAGCTTGTTGTCCTGCTCGGATGTAGTGATCTGGTAGAGCAGTTTCTCTGTGGAGAAAGGCTCCTCTATACGACGCCGTTTAAGGTCCTGCAAAGCAAACGCGACACACAAGATAGTCAGAGGAAGCGTCGTACTCCCACAGGAATTAGGCAAAACCTCACTTACAAAAATACAGCTCTATTTGAGTTAAACCAAGTCAAGTTCCAGCTGGCTTTGTCCGTCCTTGCGTCGAGTCTCTCACCTTAGCTGCCTCGTAGCCCAGTTTCATCCACTGGGGGTTGGCGAAGTGCACAGTCTCTGAGACACTGTAGCCACAACACACCTTAGACACAAAGGTCCCTGGGAAACATACCATGAACTGACCACTCTGTTGCACTGTCCGGTACACTTTCACCCCCTTTCGACGGAGCACCTCTGGAGAAATCTGTCATTGAACATCACGTCAAACCACATTCTTCAGTACAGAATGACAGTAAATTGAATGGGACAGTTCACCAAAAATAAAATAAAATTCAGCTATCTACAGAGCACAAAAGATTATATTTTGAAAAATGTCTGTTTTTTGTCCATACAATGAAAGTCAGTGGGGTCCAAAAAATAGACATTGTCATCAATTTTTGAGTTTTCTACAGAACACAAAATCTGATATTTTGAAACATATCTCTGTATTTTTGTCCATATAATGAAAACCAGTGGGGTTCAGAAAATGCTAATTTTGTCATCAATTTTTTTTTCTTTTTCTACAGAACACAAAAGATGATATTTTGAAAAATGTCTTCATTAAGTCAGTGGGGTGCAACGTTTATTTTTGGGTCCCATTCACCATACTTTCATTATATGGACAAAAACAGTTCTTCAAAATATCTTCTTTTGTGTTCCACAGAAGAAATAAATTTAAACAAAGACATGAGGTTGAGTAAATGATGACAAATGTCTATTTTTGGGTGAACTATCCTTTTAAGAGAAACCTAACCGAATACCAACAATATTATTGATCTGACTACTAACGCTGTTGTATGAGAACTGAACTGAGCTGGACGATGACACAATTTTTTGCAGAACTGCTTTATAGATTAAATGAAATAATTGAATAATTGATGACCTTGTTTGATTGTTTTGTTCTGTACTGTAGCGCTTTGAGTCTGAGAAAGGCGCATGACAAATAAAATTTATTATTACCTTTGCAACGGAACCGAATCAACACTGAACTGACTTCAGCTGAACAACAGCAGAAATGCATCAATTTCCTGTTATCACTGTAAAGCTGCTTTGAAACAATCTGTGTTGTATAAAGCGCTGTATAAATAAAGGTGACTTGACTAAGCAGTCCTGAAGTAGGCTACTCTTTATTTTAAGCCAAGGTGTCCGTGTTACAGTGTAATTATGCATTTATGTACTGAGTAATAATAATTAACTACATGTACTTACTATAGTGTTAGGATTAGGCTGTGGTTTAGAGTTAGTTGCATGTAATTATGCATAATTTATAGTTTTAACGTGTAACAAGAGCACTGAAAAAAAATGTTACCCAGAAGTACCCAATGTCCAATGTCCACCTCTTACCAGTAACGTGTAACAAGGGCACTGTGAAAAAAAAAATGTTACTCAGAAGTACCCAATGTTCAATGTTCAACTCTTACCATAATGTTCCTCTCTAGCATCTCCAGCCCTGGAGTGCCGTTAGCTTGTAGCAGTGTGTGTACTACTTTATCAAGTTTTGATTTCTCTTCAGCTGGAATACAGTACCTGAAGAAAAAGAGACACACTTACTATGGAATATGCCATAGAGGTTCAGTTTATACCAGCTGTAAAGAATGACAAAAACTCTTTAAACTCTTACCAAATGCAGTCAGCACCAGTGTGTAGGTAATCGATATACGGAAGGCTGTTCTGGTCCTGACACCAGCACGAGGTAGAAAAGACCATGCCTATGTTCAGCCAGGGGATGGTCACTCCTTCATGCAAACACAAACACAAACAGAATGTACTGAATGCCTACAGATACAATATTCAAACCATTCTAAATGATCTAGTATGTGAATATAATTTAACTCTTGATCATCAAGGTGTTTTTTTGTACGCATGAACGTTTCGGGCGTTACCTGGCACAGCACCAAGATGACGTAAGATGGATCCTGAGTTATTGGAAAGGACAGTAAGATTCCATCCATGCCTTGAGTACAAGACAAACAAATCAAAGACATGCAAACAATATTTTATGCACCAATAGCAGGGTTAAATTATTAGTAGTTTTACTATAAGTTTGTATTTTTCAAGCACTTAGTCATTTTAATAACAATATTACTTGTATTATTATAATAGAATAGAAATTATAAATGTTAATGATATTAATTTACATCATACATCAACATATATACACTACCGTTCAAAAGTTTGGGGTCGGTACGATTTTAAATACTTTTAAAAGAATTCTCTTCTGCTAACCATGGCTGCGCTTATTTGATTAAAAATACAACAAAAATCAGTTATAGTATTAAATATTATTCCAGTGTAAATCAGCTGTTTTCTGTGTGAATATATAGTAAAGTGTAATTTATTCCTGTGATCAGAGCTGAATTTTCAGCATCACCAGTGTCAGTGTCTTCAGTGTCAAATGATCCTTCACAAATCTTTATAATATGAGGATTTGATGCTCAAGAAACATTTATTATTATTATCAATGTTGAAACAGTTGTTGGTCTGTCAGTTGTACAGTTTTTTTTTTTTTTAGGATTCTTTTATGAATAGGAAGTTCAAAAGACTTTTGTAACATTACAAATGTCTTTACTGTCACTTTCGATCAAATTAATTATTCCTTGATAAATAAAAGTATTGATTTCTTTCCTCCAAAAAATAAAAATAAAATTCTCACTGACCCCAAACTTTTGAACGGTAGTGTATATAACATATTTTTGATAGCACAATATATCAGACAATATTGGACATTAAATCGTGCCTGCTCATTTCGCTTACTTTTATACTAAGATTTTAAATTTAAGGTGTGGTCAAAATTAATAATCATTTTTCATTCTGTACATTATAATCTTGAGATGCCTGAATTTACTTAAAATTATTTATTATAGCATCTAGTAAAACAACACTTTAATGAAAATTAAATATAAATAATATAACAATATAAAATGAAAAATATAGTTGGTAATTGCATTGAGTAATGTTAATAAATACAACCTTATTGAAAAATATTGACATTTTTCTAAACCCTTACTTTGAAAATGGCTCAGACTTCCCCACAGGAAATCCACTCCCATGAGTCTTAGTGTCAACTCTCCCACAGTGCACAGCAACATGGCATTCCTTTTCATCAACCAATCTCCAGTACTCCTTCTGTAGCAACAGAGTCAGAAGAGGGGCAAAACATGACCGGAAACAAATCACTGATTCCTGCTCATCAAAGCGAACTATAGCTTGTCAACATGAAGACATACCTCAACCTCAGCAGTGTCTGGCTCTTTGCTGAAGCACATGTTCATAGTGTTCCTGGCTGCCCTGTAGAATGTAGTCAAAGAGAACGATTTCCCCTGAGAACGACAGACAAACACTGAACGTCTACACCAAAGACTGATGCTTAACAAAAATGTTTTTGAATATAACTATCCCAAAAGTATGCAGATATACCCTGTATATGCACTTGTGTTGTTCACTTATCATCCCTTCTTCCTCCCCTCTCTTCTCTAGTCTTCTCTTCCGGGTGGTTTTCGCCGTGGGGTCCAGCTCTCTGAGGTGCTCGCGCGCTCCGCTCCGGTGCAACGCTCCGTTCACCAGACCGTTTTTGGGCTCGCAGCGTGGAAGCAGAAGAGCGGCATGCTGGGATGTGTCTCCCTGGCCCTCTAGGGGCCCACTTCTCCTCTCCAGGGTCTCCTTCTCTGCCATCACTTCCTTCTCCAACTGGGCCCTCTGGGCTGGTGACAGGGAGTCGTAGGAGAGCAGGTACTGGCAGTACGCCTCCTGAAGTTTGGCCAGCCGGTCTTGAGCCGAGCGCGGGATGCCCAGCAGATCGGCGAGCCGGCCCCACGTCTTCAGGTCTGTCACCTGCTGCATGCCCCCCATCTCATTTAGGATCTGGAAGAATCTGGCCAGGTCCAGCTCGCAGCCGCCTAACAGGAAGCAAAAAGAATACAAATAGGTCACTCAATATTGCGGTCTCTTTAATTTTGCTTCACTTTTAGCTCTAAATGTGTGCGCACATTACCCATTAGTCACAGTCATTCAAACAGCTCACGGTAGTGCCAGACTTGTCGCTGTTTGAGTGGCACATTGAAACTAAAGAAGGATTTGAGGTTGGCAAGAAGGCAGCAGTGCTGATGGTTTTCCCCATTCAGTCAACAAGAGACCAGACTGAGACGTCTATCGAAGTCTTGGCTCTAGATGCACTGTGTAATCTCAAAGGAAGCTGCCCTCGCAAACATGAGCTCACTAATCTGTCCAAACTGGACAGGTCAATGCCTGAATGACCAATAGATATGCATTTAAAATACAACTGAAGGCAGATGAGATGTATCTCAATGTTAATACAGTATAAAATAAACTACTTACTGTCTGAGCTAACACATGAATCAAATCATGACTCAAGCCTGGATTTAACAGATCATTTAATGTAATGCCATATAGGTATAAAAAAAAAAAAATCAGGCCCTGTGTAATATGTTATGCCTTTGACCAGTATTAAGAAAGCTACTTCGAAACTGCAGCATCTTAAGCTACATGCAAATCAGAATTTGAAGTTTCTTAAGGAGGCAAATGTTTTAAATTTGGTTTTAAATTTAATTAATGCAGTTTTTAAATTAATTATTTTTTATTTTAATTTAAAGTGATGATATAATTTATAAATAAATCCGATTTTTCTGAAAAAGAAAAAAATTAGTGTTTTGTAATGAATAAACATCTTAGTTGGGGTGACAAGAAACATTAAACTTAAACTGATAAATTCACACTAAACACAAATAAAAAAACTAAACTAAAATAGAACCTAATTAAAAAATGTATTTTCTGCTATTAAAAAAAATATTCAGAAGAACTGGATTCGAATAGAATGATTCAGACTTTCTAATGCTACATATGAAAGAGAGAAGCATTTACGACAAACTGATTCACTAGAATAATTCATACTTTCAAATGTTTCAAACTAAAGCCGGGGTTTCATTAAAGAAATAGATCCCTTAAAGGCACACTGTGGAACTTTTCAACCTTTATAATATATTACCAAAACCCATTGAGATGGTACATCGACTTACAATAGGTTGAATGACACGTCTGCCGTAGCCTGAAGGTGTCTGTATCGCTTTTCCTAGCACTATGTAACTTCGGGTTTCGGGTAGGAACCCGAGCACAAAAAGAACTACAAAATTCAACCGCTTTACGGCATACGTCACTTCCCCCACCACCCACAACTTCCTCAGATTCTGACGTGAGTGCTCAACTCGCGTTTAATTGCCGTCTGTATGTTTTCGTCATGGCCGAACCAACAGCTACAAGGAAGAAGGCAAAGGTTTTGTCAGAGGACACTAAAAAAAGAAAGAAAAAGGCATAGTGACAAATGAAAAGCCAGGACGAGGATCACCATTGGTCCAGCGTTCGCTCGCTGGCGTGAGCTACAGGAGGAGGAGGGGTGCCCGACCGATGCTGACGCTTGCCTGCACACAAATGCCGTTTCCAAGGTGACCCAGATAAATCATATAAGTAGTGTAGTATTTTCTGGTATTCCGGCCACAGCCGATGGTGTTATGTGTGTAATAAAATGCCCACAGCCCATTGTTCATTTCTACACACAAGCACAGCCCGCCACAGTGCAGGGCTCGCACAAATAAAGTCGACTCATGTCAAATGTACATTAAATGTAGTGAACGTGCCCACGACTCAGTGCCCACAAACACTACACACAACATGTCCCACGGTTTCTGTAAAACGAAACCAACACACATAAGTTACAGTCAGCTCAGGCCGACGGTGTTTTTAGTGCAGTAAATGTGCCCGCCGTCCCGCGCCCACATTCACTCAGACATGTTAGCACTAAGCCCCACGGGGCTCGCCCCGCTCGCTCTCTCTCAGCAGACTGCTATAAGGGAATCGAGCGCGGCAAGGCTGCCCGCCTTAAACACTGCAAGCACACACAATCTAAAGACACGGGAGGCTGACCCACTGTCTATGGTCTGACCGGTTGACTGTTTGTTGACTTTTGCGACAGTGCTGCGGAGCTTGTGGCCTCTAGGGACGCTAGACGTGAAAGTTACAGGTCGAGCGCCACTAGTGGCCAAAAGTTCCGCGGTGTGCCTTTAAAAATGAAAATCCTGTCATCATTTACTCACCCTCAAGTTGTTTCAAACCTGTATGAATTTCTTTCTTCTGCTGAACACAAAAAGAAGATATTTTGCAGAATGTCGGTAACCAGACAGTTGATGGACCCCATTGACTTCCATAGTAGGAAAAAAAAAATACTATGGAAATCAATGGGTCCAGTTAACTGTTTGGTTACTGACATTCTTCAAAATATCTTCTTTTTGTGTTCAGCAGAAGAAAGAAACTCATACAGGTTTGAAACAACTTGAGGGTGAGTATATGATGACAGGATTTTCATTTTTAAGTGAACTATCCCTTTAATGGACAATACTTTATTTTACCCCATTTCTTACGAACTGATTCACCACAAACGAATCAAACTTTCCAATGCTGTGAGAGAGAAGCATTTAAGGCAAACTGATTCACTATACAGATTTGATAGAGAGGACGAATGGATTCACTACAATGAATCAGACTTTACCATGTTACATATGAAAAGCTAGACTACTTACACTACTACAATATAGCTACACTATTAGCCTGGTTAAAACCAGACCATTCTCAGTTGTAACTGAGTTATGGTCTGGCAAATGCCATAGACAAAATCATTTCCAGAGGGGCGTCACCAACGGACGTCGCGGATAGACCTAAACCAATCAGAGCGATGAAGGAGGTGACGTATGCAGAGCGGGGGTAGAAACATCTCCGACTGTTGTTCTTTGCTCGGTTTTTAACAAAAAGGAAACGTTCAAATCGCTTAAAACAGACACAATAGCTGATTCGAACGAGTGATGTTCGACGGCGGCATCCATCTTTGTAATGTAGGCTACAAAATCTGCTTCAAAATCCCAGCGTTGTCGTCATCGTGTAAAGCCCGCCCCAACGTTTCTGATTGGTGCCTCGATTTCGACGGATTGGAAATGGGCTTGAATGAGCTCTTTGCCAGACTAACTTTCAGAGCAAATCTAAATTTGCCGGAAGTTGTCTGGGTTTTCCCAGGCTACTACACTATCTCACACTAGTTAGTTTTGGTTTGTTACTCCCCAACACTTAGACTGTCAAATATGCCCACAAAACGTTGCTTTGGATCTCGTGCAGCACTTCATACCTATAAGTGGAGGCTCTTCCATGTTAATGCCTTGTGTCCGCAGGTGTCTCCTGATGCAGGCCAACCGCTGTACATTCGGGCCCCAGCGTCTGCCCAGCTTGTGCACATGCTGCACATACGAGACGAAGCGCATCTCCTCTTTAAGCTTACACTCGGGATGCCAGTCCGCTGGTGGAACAACCCGGTACACCCCGATCGCCTCCGCTTGCCCCCGCACACACTCCATGTAAGCTAGCGGGTCGTGGAACTCGCGTGTGCCGGGATAGAAAACGGGAACCTCCGTGACCTCCGCACTGCGCCGGCCTCTCTCTTTAGGCTCAGCTGAGTTGAGGGACTCAGTCGTATTAGAAGGATTGCCTTGTTTTAGAGCATTGCTTGTTTTGGGGGTCTCTGATAGTTTGGGGGAGTTGGCTGGTTTCGAAATGTCTCGTGTTGAGGTAGTGGGGCTGTTCTTGGCCAGAACGGTGGCTTTACAGTGCATTTGTTTGGTGAACATGAGCTTCCCCGCCGTGGCCCGTTTGGGCCGCTGCGATCCTGATCCCGGCGTCTCCTGAGCTGCTTTCCTACTCCGTGTCTCCAAGGGAACCACTTGCAGTTTGAGCCTCTTAACCTCGACCTCTGGTCCACTCAGACTAACCCCGGCCTGCTCCAACTGCCTCTTTGACTGTCTCAGTCCGTTTCGTCTGGGTGGGAAAGTGTCCGTCCCACACAGCCTCCCAGCGATTGCTGGGGATAGCACCGGTTTTTGCATCTTGGCGTGGCTGGTTTGGGCTTTTCCTGAGTTGGAGTGCATGTGGGTGTGGCGTGTGTGTGTCTGTGTGTGTGTGTGCGCGCTCGGGCTGAGCTTGGCCTCTTTGAGCAGTCTGGCTTTGGTGTAAGTCACGTGACCCTTGGGGTATTTCACAGCTTTGGTCGGGGGAGTACGGAGTTCTCTTGTCTTCCTAGTACTGATAGCGGAGGCTCCCGATGTTCCGTTCATTTTGGAGGGCTGAGGGATGACAAAAATAATTGTTTTGTTATGTCATTTATTTACACTGTACAAAACTGTACAACATACTTCAAGCTGCCGTGTCATTTTTCAATTTTTTCATTTTATCTGGTTTAAAACGTGACAAGTTTTTAGAAATGTTTTTGCATTCATGTTGGTTTCATATGTTTAAAAAAAACTAAAAAAAACTTTTAGATACTTTTCAAGAAAAGTTTTAATTGACTGACTCTTGGGGTTTAACCATCATATTAAAAGAAAATATTTAAAAATGTAATTAATTATTAGTTCATAAATATTACATTTTTAAATATTACAAGCACACAACATTTTACATCCTGGACTAACTTTGCCTTGTCAATTTGTCTGATATTTTCAGAAGCTTACTGACAGGGGTCTTCTTTATGATATAATTTCCTGTTTTATGCTTTTTTATGTTTCTGCATGTTGGTTGCACCACATGACTTTGATTTTGCAGACAAATATTAATAATATAATATTCATTGTTTTGTTAAAATAACAATAAATAAATAATAAACAATAAATAATTACTTTTCCCCTATTTATTCTCCCACAAAAATATAAACATTTATTTTAATACAGAAAATAAAAGATGCTCATCATAGAGGTGCATTCAAGTCACTATATGAATAAACTGCAATTTTTTAATATTAATATTAAAAATGAGTGTCATGTCATTGACCCTAATCTTTGCGTTTATGTATTTGACACGTTTATCCAATATAAATTACATCTCATTCAATCAGTATATGCATTCCCCAGGAAACAAAACCATGATCCTGTCACTGTTAGAGCCACAGTAAACACTGTGGTTTCCTGTGCTACAACATGAGTTTGACATTTTGATGATTTAAAAGGCAAGGGCTGAGAGTGTTGTTGTACAGAAGAAGCATACATTACTTCCTCAAATTCAACACATAACAGCAAACTCCAATTATTCTTTCTCAGAGTGACCACATTCTTCCACTAGGGGGCTCAGTGGAGCAGTTCTTTCATTCTTTAGGGAGCTCACGCACGTGACCAGGGCCATGTATGTTCCATCTGCATGTGGTGGGGGATGGGAGAAAATTAATTTGTCTCAAAAACCAAAGTTCTTGACAGAAACCACAACAGATCTACAAATGGTCCACCACATAGAGAGACAGTTAATGTTTACAAAAATGGGACACAGTCCAGAGTATGTGGTACTTCCACACTCCACTGGTTTTGATTGTGTGTGGAGAGAGAGAGGGGGGTTGGGTGGAGGAGAGATGACATCATGTGTTGCTATAGGCCTGCTGCAGGATAGTAGGGAAGGATAAAGCTAACCGTATGTTGCTCGGAGTCCATAGAACACTCTGGCAGGAGGGGAGGAAATTTTGATGAACACACACATTGGTCTACATAGTCTGAACTGACTGGGGGGAATGGCATCCAGTATTTCTTGAAAGTGGAACAATTTTTATTTTTTATTTTCAATTATTCATCATTCACTTACAGTAATGGTCATTCAGAGATCAGCTAAGCATATATTGTGGTGTATAACTGCAACTAATATCAGCATATGAAAATAAAGCTTACCACAATAAGAGATTCTCAATTATAAAATGTGTTATTGTAAGCTGCCTATGTAGCTCCTACAAAGAAGCAGGATTTTAAGGTATAAATAGCAGAATCTGTCATAAAATTAATTATATTCAACATTTATACCTTTAAAGCCCTAACAGCCCATGCTTTTTATTTATTTTTCTATTTTTGCTGTCACCACAAATTAATTTTCCTGTTATCTTGACATAACAAAACTTGTTTTCTTAAAGGGTTAGTTCACCCAAATATGATAATTCTGTCAGTAATTACTCACCCTAATGTTGTTCCAATTCCGTAAGACTTTCGTTCATCTTCGGAACACAAATTAAGAGATTTTTGATTAAATCTGACAGCTGTCTCACTCCTCCATAGGCAATTTCATTCTGCCGGTCCAGAAAAGTTAGTAAAAACATCGTTAAAATAGTCCAAGTGACTACAGTGGCTCAACCTTAAGTTTATCAAGCGACGAGAATACTTTTTGTGCGCAAAACCCCCCAAAAAATAACGACTTTATTCAACTATTCATTTTCTTTCGTGTGGGCCTCTGACGTGAGTTCACGAGAGCGCCAGATGCATGCGCGAGAACTAAGAAGATGACGCAGATGGGTCTCGATGTAGTGTTTAAAATGGTTCTAAAGTGTGCATTTCCTGGATGTCCAAATTGTGAGAATCCAACGAGAAAACGTAAAAGTGCCTTACCAATGCCGCAAAATGAATGGCTTACCTTTCACACTTTCCCATCAAATGATCGTGAGCGTCATCTTCTCAGTTCTCGCGCATGCGTCGTGACGACTTAATAAAGTTGTTTTTTTTTTTTCGCGCAAAAAGTATTCTCGTCGATTGATAAACTTAAATGTTGAGCCACTGTAGTCACTTGGACTATTTTAACGATGTTTTTACTGACTTTTCTGGACCGGCAGAATGAAATTGCCTAGAAGCCTATGAAGGAGTGAGAGCTCTCAGATTTCATCAAAAATATCTTAATTTGTGTTCCGAAGATGAACGAAAGTCTTACGGGGTTGGAACAACATGAGGGTGAGTAATTACTGACAGAATTTTCATTTTTGGGTGAACTAACCCTTTAAAGACCCCCTGTGGTGTGGTGTTGTGTTGTTTATATGTCTGTGGTGTTTTTAATATGAATTTGCACATGGTTTGTCTTAAAGCATAAGTCAACAAACATTACTGAGTATTTTCTCTTTAGCAGTGATCTAAAGACAGTCTCAAAAACGTGGTTTGAAATCTGAAATCAGTTTTGTTTCTGACGTCACAAACTACCTTGTAACCAATCACATCAATGATGGGCTTTAGTCTATTATTACTATGTTGTGAAGCAGGGGAGTCTCAAGAGAAGCCAGGTTATCCCAGTATTTTTTCTGTTGATATGAAAAATCGGGTAGATTTAGCAGGTGTATGATGTATGTTATGATGTTATGATGAACTATATGCCTTTCTCCACTGACGTTCTGAGTTGTTCAAAGCATATCTAAGGATGCTGATTTTAGAAGGCAGACTGAGATGGGGAACGGGAACATGGTTTGTGTAACATTAGCAACACATTATTAGCTGTTTGACAACATAGTCAAGCAAAAGGTTGACGTTGTTAAGAGCGACACCATTTGTGCTGCATTTTCTACAGTAAGTTGACAGAGTGGATCTCTGAGCTGGCGCGAGTGAGCAGAGGCGGGGCTAATTTGCATATTCATGGCTCCACGTATACTAAATGCAGCAAGGGCGTAGAGTTACATTCAAGCTATTTTAAGGCATAAAGAAATTTTTTCCACAGGATTTTATGTTAAATATGTCATTTTGGTGATCAAAGATGAGTTCTAAGGGATAAAATTATTGACTACAAGGGGACTTTAAGATCTTAATTTGAATGTCATTTTCTCTTGTAATGTACAACTTTATTGTGGTAGACACTATAGTGATTTTGAACATGTGGTCAATTTCTCTGCTAGCCAGCTCAAGGGATTGGGACGTCTGGATGATGTTTGACAGATACTGGTTTGCAGTTGACCAAACGATATTTTGAGAAATGAGAAATATTTCTTTATCTCATACGAAAATTAGGTCAAAATTATGGAGGGGGAATTTAAGTTGAGAACCTGAGAAAACAATACAGAAAAATATGTGATCTGAACAACAAAACAAAACAAAGTAAAATAAAATAAAAAACATATCTATTCCTACCTGTTGTTTTTGTTCTTGTACAGCCCTGTTGGGTCGTAGATTGTGTGTAGTGGACGTCCTTACTGATGCTACAGAGTTCTTCTCCTTGCCATGGACCCGGTCTCTCCCTCTGGCTCTCAAACTGCCTCTGTGTTCCTCTGCAGCTCGCGCCTGCCCGTTAAATACTGGAAGAGGAGAAGCACACAGCACAGATATAATGTTAAATCTTTTAGCTAACTTTTTTAGTGTGTGAATGCACACTTAATTTCTAAAATTCAAAAGAAAACAACAAAAATTGTGCATATTATAAAAGTTGCCACGTGTATTTTGTGTCTATTTTATAGGATGCATTATGGGTGCACAGTGATTCGAAGCACTGATTTAAACAGATTGTTTCCCTCCTAGGTGAACTAAACCAGGTGATTTAGTACTGTAGTGGAAAAAAGACCCACGGTTTTTTAGGCTTTCTGCTGAATGGTCCTGCTGTACCTTACTGCTCTGCGTTCCACTTTCTGTGCACTTGACTTGTAAATTTCTCTTATAAAAGAAGACTGCCAAGCAGCTAACAGAGTCTGCATAGAGGCCTTGTCTAACACATGAGAATTTATGGGATTTTAAAGCTCAAATATTGCAACAGCAAAGCTGCTTATAGCTCTCAAACTAACATCAATAAATCACTGAAACCCAGTAACACAAATGACTGAATGCCACTAAAAATGCTCACTTTTTAGAAACAGCTGTGTTAAAGACTAATGCCTTGCTTTGACTGTAAGAACATCTTAATATTGTGTGAAAATCTACTATAACAGATTTTCATTCTTCCTGAGAGCCACCCACATTGAAGTTGGACAAAAGAAGCAAAGTTTTCAAAGTTGTGAGCCTCCATTAGCTAAACAGATGGTGAACTGAACAGAGAGTCTAATGTTAGCAGCAAAACACTAAACAAGTATTGAAATGCTCTTTGGGTCACTTTACTAAATGAAAGCTTCCAGAGGGACCAGCTTATCATTCAAACAGTTTGGAGCTTGGCCAATGGCACACATAAAAGTGTCATATTTAGCATGTGTTCTTGTACAATAAAAGGTGACGTGGTTCTGGTTTCGTTATAAAGTATGGATGCTCAATACGACTCCCAATTTCATTAGGAAGCACAGAGAGTTCTCTTTCAGAAACATATCCCACATACAGGCATGACACATGGCACAAACTTCTGCAAAATCGGAGTGTTCCATAGATCTCAAACTGATGTGACGCATTTGAGAGGAATAATCTAAAATAAGGACCCTGAAAGCTGTTGCCATTTTTGGACACAGACACTGTTTATCCTTAAGGTCCAATCTGACCTCGAAGCTCCAGCGAGGTGACGGTTGTGTGGTTGTAGTTTGTCAGGAGCCCCTCAGACATGTGTCGAGTATGTGGAGCAATATTGGGTTACTGAGGTGTCAGATTACACTGCAGATTTTGCTGAGTCGGTAACAGGGTCTGGTTACAAACCCAGAGACTGATATGGGCCAAGAACTCATAACACGAGGACAGAGTGGCATTCAGCATTTTATTAAATGGAATCTCAGCTAAATTCAGCTTGGCCTGTTTTAATCTGTTAGCTATAATTAGTACGCAAATCTCAAGAGAAAGAGGAAAATGAGCACAGTGACCAGTGATAATAGATATTAAAATGAATGTGAAAATAATCAACAATACACACAAATATTCATAACGATATAGAATATTTGTAGCACAACTTATCTTTTAACACTGAAATGTATACACTTCTATTAAATATTTATTGTGAATAAAAATTAAAACATCAAATAAAACAAAATAAAACAAATGTAAAATATGTTCTACCATTCAAAGTTTTGGGGTTGGTAAGATGTTTTAATGTTTTGAAAGAAGAATCTTATGTTCACCAAGGCTGCATTTAGTTGATCAAAAATACATTAAACAGTAAACATTATTACAGTTTAAATTTACAATACATTTTCAAGTGTAATTTGTTACTGTGATGGCAAAGCTGAATTTTCACATGATCATTCTCATGCTGATTTGCTACTCAAGAAATATTTCTTATTATAAATCAATGTTGAAAACTAGTTGTGCAGATTAATGTTTTTGTGAAACTGATCTTTTTTCAGTATACTTTGATAAAAAGAAAGTTCAAAACAACAGCATTTGTTTGAAATAGAAATATTCTAACATTATCAATGTCTTTACTGATCAATTTAGTGCATTATTGCTTGCTTAAAGCATTTGTTTCTTTAAAAAAAAAATCATACCCCAAACTTTTGAATGTTTTATATTATATTATAATCATGTCTTTGTTTTTTTGCATATGTGCATACTCATACGTTGAATACCTTGTGTTATATGGATGGTATACAGCAAATGTAGGCAATCTGACAGTGAGGGCTGTGTATAGTCACGGCTCATTAACTGTATGGTGTGGAAAGAGGCCGGGCCATAACTCACCTCACTGGGGTCCTTAAATGGAACCAAATGTCCAGCCTGTCTGCTACTGGCAGTGCAATAATACACTTACACTACACATGCTACACAGTAAAATGGACTGTAAATTGCTATTTTAAGTAAAAGGATTATAAAACGCAAAGCAAGATAACGTTTATGAGAATAAGTGTGTGTGTTTGTGGTTATTCACACACTTTAACTATCCAATGGATGGAGTGTTTCAGGGGTGTAAGTACCATGACCGTTGGCGATGCATTTGTTATGTCCTTTGCTCTTGCGAGGAGTGGACTGGCAGGAAGCAGGGGCATTGCTAGCACTGTCTTCTTCCTCATCCTCTTCCTCGTCTACATCTTCATCATCCTTAGCACTACCAAAGTATGCCATGTTGCTGGGCAATGCAGCAGAGCCTGAACCAATGAGAAGGAGGGTAAAGACAAAGTGAGGAAGTGTCATGCAGAGAGAGAGAGAGAGAGAGAGAAATATAAACAGAACAGAACAGTATAATGGCTACCAGCCGAGATTAAAAAAGATTAAATCTCCACATGTCTTGCTTTGAAAGAAACCTAGTAGTCCTTGAAGGGATATTTCACAAAAAAATGACAATTATGTCTTCATTTACTCGCACTCACATTGTTTCGAACCTGTATGACTTACTGTCTTCTCTGGCATGCCAAAGAAAATATTTAAAAAAAAAATTGTTCATACACTACCGTTCCAAAGTTTGGGGTCAGTAATTTTTATTTACTTATTTATTTTAAGTCTGAAGTAATGATGCAGAAAATTCAGCTTTGCCATCACAGACTAAATTACATTTTATATATTAAAATAGAAAATCGTTAAAATATTATTTCACAATATTACTGCTTTTACTAACCAAATAAATGCAGCCTTGGTGAGCATAAGAGACTTCTTAAAAAATTATAATAAAATACATATTTCCTACCCCAAACTTTTGAATAGCAACGCATAATGATAGTCAATGGGGTCCAAAACAACACAGGACCTCACTGACTTTCAAGGTATGAAAGAAACTTTTTTAATTGTTATTTGTTCCGCATTAGAAAAAAAGTCATACAGATTTGAAATGACGTGATGGTAAGTAACCAATTACCTTTTTTTTTTTTTTTTTACTTTTGCTTTAATCTATCAAATATAAGAAGTTTCTATCAAATATAAGAAGTTTCTGTGTTCCTAAAACTCTAGTGTGTATTTGTCCACTGTGCAAAGCTGCTTATCCTGTTTAACTTCACTGTCCCAGCACTGTAAGAAAGAGGCGTTGATTGTGACTGTAGAGTGGTCCAGTCTAGTGCTCATCGCATGTGCTACTGATCCTCACTGAAGGGTTCAGTGCTCACAATGGAGAGCCTGTTCACAAGCTTTATTCCACATTCCCTCAATAGACATTTATCTGCACCAGAGTCACTGGGTGCTTGCATGTGCCATAGCATGTGATTGTGTGTGTGTGTGTGTGTGTGTGTGTGTGTGTGTGTGTGTGTGTGTGTGTGTGTGTGTGTGTGTGTGTGTGTGTGTGTGTGTGTGTGTGTGTGTGTGTGTGTGTGTGTGTGTGTGTGTGTGTGTGTGTGTGTGTGCGCCTGAGGAGGGGGTGGGGAATGGGGCCAACAGGAGAGAAATAGAGAAGAGAAGTAGTCCGGCTGCTTTTGAATCAATCCACTTCTCAAACCACAATAACCAATAGAGTGTTACATTTATATTGCAACCTGTTCATATCTTCCATTATTTGAGATCAATGGAAATGAACTATGTGAAACCTTATTAGCGACTGGTTATGGAAGGCGAGCTACAATATCCAGGTGAAATGGGAGCTGAGCTGAATTGTGAAAGAAAGGATTTTTGGGCCCCCTAAGATTAAGGAGAAAGGCTCTTTAGACCAGTCCTCCATCATCAAGGGCTTTAATAAGGGCTCCTGCGGGCTTTGACCCATTGGCTATTGTTTACATCTCAAGAGGCAACTGAATGATTCTTCGATTCCTCTCTGATAATGCCGATTTTGAAGAGCCATTTCAGAGTGAATATTAATTAATGTGATTTTCATCTCACAATACTCTACGGTAATACAGCTGATGATTTGATATGATAAAGTATTCAACTCTCACGTTCATTATTTAACATGAAGCATTTTGGAATCTGCAGGAAAGAGGTCTATGTTCAGTCCAAGTATCCTATTATTTTTGGAAAGAGACGAAAATTACGACTCATGTCATCCTCTGATATGAATTCTTTCTCGAAGCAATGTGTGACATTGCTTGAGGATTTCTGTGAACCCGAATCTGTTTTTACTTCTGTCCCTTATAGGCTGATGGAGAATGATAAACAGAGAGAGAGAGAAACAGGCTAAAAGGGGAACAACAAAAAAAGGGATTTCAGTAATCTCGTCACTAGCTTGGTTGGAAACAAACCAATATATATATATATATATATATATATAGCCACAAACTTTGGAATGGTAGTAATACAAGTATATATTACATAAAAAATAGTATAAAATAAATAATTTTATTACTACCATTCAGATTTTGCGGTTGGTATTTTTATTTAAAAATACAGTAAAAACAGTAAAATTGTAAGATATTTTACAATTTAAAATAACCATTTTCTATATTAAAATATTTTAAAATGTAATTTATACCTGTGATGACAAAGCTGAATTTTCAGCAGCCACATGATCCTTTAGAAATCATTCTAATATACTGATTTGATGCTCATCAATGTCTTATTATTATTGCTGATTTTTTTTGTGTGAAACCATTTGTTTAAAATATAAATCTTTTCTAACATGTCCAATTAAATGTAAATGTCTCAAAAGTAAAATATATAAATGCAGTTTTGAACATGATAAAAAATTTTTTTTACAAAGTAATTTCACTGTTTAGTAGTAGATCAAGAAGGAGCTTTTATAAGCAGAGACTAAAAATTATTATTATAATTTATTTTTAATTTTTATGATGCACATTGATAAGTGACATCTGTGCTTCCCCACTCATGAGAAACACCAGCTGCCACTGTGTCTGAATTATGGCTTAAATCATCCTTAACTTATGTGACACTACTACAGGCTCTGGTTATATTTGAAAAATCCATAAACTGATCCACAATTCCACTCTCACATGTACATTTGTGCTCAGTTCTAACCAAATACTGAAAAGAGGTTTTATATGATGACAGGGACGAATGGAGACTGGGAAAAACTTTCTCATTTACATTCTTTATGTTTGAAAATCCATTAACCCACTTAGCCAAAGAGTCCATGGCAAATCCAATCAGTCTGTTTCCTGTCTTTGCGAGAGAGAAGAGAGATGGAGAAAGTCAACCATTTCAAAGGAGCCTGAGAAATGTAAGTGAGTGGGAAAGGAGAGAGAATAAGAGAAAGTATGACTCGATTTGTGTCCTCTGTGTTTGTTCTGCCATGAGATGAAAAAGGACGAAAGACTGCAGCATAATTTATAGCGGTCACAAATCCAGACTGATACCCTCATTGTTTACATGCACAAATTTACACTAGCCAATTATGCTTAATTGCTTGAGTCCTGTCCCACAAGGTCATGTAAACACCTTAAATTGTGTTTTTTTTTAATCGGATAAATGTAAAAGTGCTCATTTTCAGTTTTTTATATTTTTGTGTCATTTTGTGTATTTATATTATATGTCTATTTTTTATGTTTCAGTTTTAGTTTAGTAATTTTAGTACTTCAAAATTACTTTTACTTCACTTTGTTTTCGTGTATTTCATCTAAAATGTATATTTCAATTTTATTTCAGCTTTATTTCAATTAATGAAAACATGCAACTCAATAAACAACTTTGTTTATTATGGTATATGGAATATTCTGGTTGCTTAACGGATGTTAAGGATCAGGACAACAAACAACCTTCATGTATAAACCAGAATCTAAATTTATTTTCTAATTAATTCTCCCTATGAACTCGAATAGTATAACAGCTCCGCCCACACTGAAATCCCATTGGACCATAGTTCCACTCCACATGAGTATTAAACAAGCAACATGGACAAGAAGACATCCCTCATCTACTTAAACATCTTCTGGAGCTCTTCCTTGCCATTGTCACCTTTGACTCGCTTACTGGAAGGGTTCGAATTGAATTGAAAATGTACACTGGGAGATCAGCCAAGACACAAACACTGTAAATAACATCAGCGCACACAAGAGAGTCACACACATGTTTGCCAGCAATAACCGAGACTCCCATGTGAGAGGTGAATGTGCGCTGCCCAGAGGTAAAGAATTATGGAGTCTGTAAACATTTTAAGAGTTGAGAGAGTGAGAAAATGAAGACAGACAACGATAGAAAGAGAGCAGACCCACCTCGTAGACAGAGGAAGGTGAGGAAGTCTTCAGTTTTGGGTTTGCGTCTTGTGAGATGGTTGTGCGGGGCGGCTGGGCTTGGGGGCATGGCCTCCAGCGCTTTCAGCGGGGTGGCATTGGGAGAACAGGGATGAGACTGAGCAAACTTCCTCTGAGCCCGCAGTCTTGGCCTGGTATGAGAAACAGGGAATATAAAGGATTAGTTCTGTTAGAAATGAAAATTTCCCTCCATCCTTCATTTATTCATCATTCAAGTTTGAAGACTTGCATTGGTCGCTCTTCTCTAAGCAATTACAATAAATGCAGATCAAGCTTTCTTTTTCCTTTCTATGTGACACTAAAGAAAGTCATGTGGGTTTCGAACAATATGAGAATAAATGAGTTCAGTTCAAGCTCTTTTTTTACAAAGATACTGTCATTTGATGCCTCATGTTTTATTGAGACCAAAAACTAGTTCACAAACCAGATTTTTGGAATCAATGAGAGGAAAAAGGCAATCATAGCGATCTGACTCGCTCCTTTGCTAGGAAAAGAGTTACTAATCTAATCCTATAGAAGACCTGCGGAGGGAAGCAGTTTGGTTTGACATATAAAAGCTCAGCAAAAAGTCTGACTGCGCAAGTCATTTTTAATTGGCCAACGTTGTGTTTGGATGCTTGTTTCCCAATAGGCTTAACCCACAAGACTTCCATGTTTGACCAGTTACACCAGTTAAGTTTTGCTGGTGAACAGTGTGGGTCAGCCTAGAATCTAACTTTATACTGTATCTCTTTGGCAATGAAAGTTACATAGGGTTACCATTTCATGCCCTGACCCATTGTTAAATCTGTTATATTCCCACCTAGTTCAATCATCATGATATGTATCTATGAAACCACATTTTATCCATGTACTAACTTAGAATGGCATAAAACCACAATATACTGTGCTGGAAATATCACAGAGAAAAGGCTCAGTAAACTCACTTTTTCCTGACAGGCTCATCGATTGAGTATTCATGGCTGTGGTCTTTGCTTTGAACTGCATGTTGTGTCCTGTCTGACTTACAGCTTCCAGCAAACAGCCCAGCTTTAGTTCCCAAACCATTCAAATGACCATTTGCAAAGGAGCCTGGGAAAAGAGGTGTGGTTTAAGCAATAGACATTTAAGTTTAAGCAATAGACATACATAAATACAGAAGAAAACAATTTCCTCCATCCTATTTTTAATATTGCTATGACATTTATCTATTAGCAAATAAAATAGATATAAAGGGCGTAGCATCCATAGCAACTCTTCAGTGCCTCTGAAATGGAGAAGAGGTTTGAAACAGGATTTTTCCAATCATTCAGTCTGCAGCGAACAAACACAAGTGGACACTCAGACTAAGTGCACACTCAGAATAAACTGACAGGAAGTAGGGAAAATGACAGTGCCTACAGTGTCCTGTTACAATTCTCTAAGGTTTCAGTCATGTTAAGCAGCCAAAAATAAACATGTAGTCTGTGAATTAAGAATACAACATGTGCATAAGTTAATGTCTTTACTCTTCCCTCATACAAAATTGAGAATAATAATAGCAGATCTATCGATATGTATGGGGCCATCTCTCATCTTGCAACATCTTGAGGACTGAGGCAGAGTCGGTGCGCCCAAGTACTGAGGTGAAGCCGGAGGAGCCCGACAGAACCAAAGGGGTGGAGGGACGAGTCAATGGCGAAGGCAAAAAAATATGCAGAGGCTGTCGTTGTCGTAATGAACGAAAGGGGCCAGATCTAAAAACCTCTACATATGTAGCTATCCCGAGGGAAAGATCCCCCTGGGAGAGGTGGAGGATCCGACCTGCTACTAGATCCATTTATTATGGTCCGTTATTCTGTCACACTGTGGTTGCAGCAGGAATGATTAAAAAAAGGAGCAGGATCTATGTGCAGCAGATTTTAATAATAACTCAATAACAATACTGAGGCATCTAAGCTATCTCAAGATTGCTGAAAAGCCAGTGAAGAGACTTGGGAGATGGTACGATGGGGATCTAAAGGACACAGTTCGAGTGGGAGAAGTTAGACGACAAGCAGTGGAAGGGTTGAAGAGCATAAACAGCTGTGCTCTACCAGGCAAACTAAAACTCTGGTGCTTTCAGTTTGGTCTATTGCCGAGGTTGCTGTGGCCACTGACTGTGTACGAGGTTTCTTTGACAACAGTGGATAAGCTGGAAGCGTTAATAAGTTCATACATCAGGAAATGGTTGGGAGTTCCACGCTGCCTCAGCAGAGTGGGACTTTATAGTAAAGGAATATTGCAGCTGCCAGGCTCTGCTTTAACCGAGGAGTTTAAGTGCGCCAAGGTCAGACTGGAAATGACCTTAGTAGAGTCACGCGACAAATGTGTAAGGGAGGCAGCCCCTGTGCTAAAAACTGGTAGAAAGTGGTCAGCAAAGAGATCTGTAGTAGAGGCAAAGCCTGACCTTCAAATTGGGGATATCGTGGGACAGGTACAGCATGGAAGAGGGGGTTTTGGGCTCAGTTTAGCTCCTCCTAAATGGCACAAGGCAGGCCCAGCTCAAAGGAGGAAGCTGGTAGTCAACGAGGTGCGAAAGCAGGAGGAGAGGATGAGGTGTATAAAGGCCATTTCCCAGGCCAAGCAGGGAGAGTGGATGAGATGGGAGAGTGTGGAACAACGCAAGATGGGCTGGCAAGACCTTTGGTCAATGGAAGAGAGTAGGATCAGTTTCCTTATCAGGTCAACATATGATGTTCTCCCATCACCACAGAACCTAAACCTCTGGGTAGGAGAGGATCCCTCTTGTCCTTTGTGTTCATCACCTGCCACATTAAGGCACATTTTGACAGGATGTAAGGTGGCTCTTAGTCAAGGTCGGTTTACTTGGCGCCATGACCAAGTACTGCGATGTTTGGCTTTAGCATTGGAAGGCAAGCGTAACATGACCAATAAGTTGCCACCTGTTCTAGCAAAACATTACACACAGAAGACAATATTCCTCCGCCCAGGCGAGCAACCACCAAAGAAAAGGTGCTAACACCAATTCTCGCCCAGGACAACTGGAAGCTGCCAGGGACTGGAAAATGCTGGCTGATCTTGATCAACGGCTTATTTTTCCACCTGAGATTGCCACCACTAACCTACGACCAGATATTGTTTTGTGGTCTGTATCAGCACGCATTGTTCAACTGATAGAGTTAACAGTGCCATGGGAGGATGCTGTAGATGAGGCAATATGAGAGGAAGAAACTGCGGTATGCTCATCTGGCCACTGAAGCAGAACAGCGAGGATGGAGAGTCCAGGTTTATCCAGTGGAAGTGGGTTGTCGAGGATTTGTGGCACACTCTACAACCCGGTTCCTCAGAGACGTCGGATTCAGTGGCCAAGAGTTGCGCCGCACAGTAAAGAACTTATCTGAAGCAGCAGAGAGGAGCAGCACTTGAAAGTCTTCAAACTTGAAGAGTCTGTTGGTTTATTTGTATAGTTTGCATAGTAAGTACAGTTATTACGTTCCTGTGTATATTGAGTGAATGAGGGTTGGTGATTGGGCAGATATGGTGTTTTGCGGTAGGTAGTATGCCATACGGAACCGTTGCCACTGAACCTACTTTAACGAAGACAGTGGGGCTCGACAGCCTTAGTCAAACGGGTTGGCGCGTAGGGTTGGGTTGTGGAGAGATTGTGAGATTGTGGTTAGGTCTCAGCAGCAGGAGGGATGTAGAGGTCAGTAAGCTGGGCTGAGTTGAGTGGGGGACGGAGGGGGGTGATTCTGGGACGCCAGAGTCACTGTCAAACCCTCTTGAGGTGTCGTGGGCTAGTCGACGAAACACTGAGGATGGAAGGTGCCCACTTGAAGACCGTAGAGATGTCACCTACTCGGCTCAATCCAGACGGTTGTCGTGCTGGTCCACTGGGGAAACCACACTGTAGTTACAGCCATTGTGTGTGCTGACGTGCCAAGTACACTGCAGCCGTTAACGCCGGACAGAAGGAGATTCACATCACCATATGGAAGGAAGCCGAGTACAAATCAGTAGTGATGTATGTCTCGAGACCGGTCTTGGTCTCGAGACCACTTTTACGTGGTCTCGGTCTTGTCACGGCCTTGACGGTCTTTGGTCTCGGTCTTGTCTTGGTCTCGGACCTCTCGGTCTTGTCTAGGTCTCGCTGTCTCAGACCGACATAGTGGTCAGGGGATTGAGCAATACAATACTACAATATCCACGACGATATCCGCAACGTATTGAAGCGCGCGTCCGAGTGAAGACAGTGCGGTGCGCGCGAGCCACGCGAGAAAACACTGTATCCGCGCCACTGATCGCAGCGGCAACGAGCACTTTGATCACTTGATTTAAAAAAACACATATCATGTACAGTTTTTGATATATTAATATTTAGTAAAACACATATCAGTGACATGATGGGTTTTACCTTCATTCAGGAGATTTTGGGTAACTGCACAACTGACAGATGACTTTGAGCGCACCGCCAACGGTGTGTGTGTGTGTGTGTGTGTGTGTGTGTGTGTGTGTGTGTGTGTAACCATAGCGACAAAAACGACCAACTTTCGGATCCTGCACTTAAGCCTATAATTTCGTTTTTAAAAATATAATTATGTATTTAAAAGTTGCAGAATGGATTCATTTGGAGACTTCGAAATCAGCAGAGATAGGCAGGCAAATGCAAAACAACATTTGACAAGTTATTGCTTAGCTTCAACACTAATGTTTTTTTTCCCCTCCGGTCTCGACTTGGTCTCGGTCTTAGTCTCGACTTGGTCTTGGTCTCGACTTGGTCTGTCTTGGTCTTGGTCTTGGTCTTGTCTTGGTCTCGTTACCATCTGGTCTTGGTAGTGTCTTGGTCTCGGTTTAGGCGGTCTCGACTACAAGTCTACAAATCAGCATGAAGTTTTAACATCTACTCTCGTGTAATGGAAATCTTAATCAAAGAACTGGAACAGAACAACCATAAACATAGACAATAACTGACAGAGGGCAACTGAAACTTGAGGGTTATGTATACAGAGAAACAGGGGTCTAAACAATATCACCGGCCACTTTTTTAGGTAAACGTTCAACTGCTCATTAACGCAAATATCTAATCAGCCAATCATATGTAAGGAGATTTAAGTCACTTTGAACATGGCATGGTTGCTGGTGCCAGACGGGCTGGTCTGAGTATTTCAGAAACTGCTGATCTACTGGGATTTTCACACACAATCATCTCTAGTGTTTACAGAGAATGGTCCGAAAAAATATCCAGTGAGGGGCAGTTCTGTGGGCGAAAATGCCTTGTTTATGCCAGTCAGAGGCCAGAGGTCAGAGGACAATGGTCAGACTGGTTCAAGCTGATAGAAAGGCAACTTTTTTTCAACTTCGAGCACTGGGTGTAGGGGATGTATTCTTGGCACACTTTGGGAACCAATTGAGCAATGTTCAATTGGAACCAATTGAGCCTTAGACTAAATGCCACAGCCTACCTGAGTATTGTTGCTGACCATGTCCTTCCCTTTATGACCACAGTGTATCTTCTGATGGCTACTTCCAGCAGGAAAACATACCATGTCACAAAGCTCAAATCTTCTCAAACTGGTTTCTTAAACATGACAGTGAGTCATGTTTAGTGAAGTGAAGTGAGTAAACTTCGGCAGAATCTTGTGAATTAGAATGCAGCTACTAACTGCACAGGATAATGTCGCTTTACAATTTTTAGAATTCTGAAGGATGCTGTTTAATTACAGAGTATGTGCAAGACTCTCTGAAATGCAATGCAATGTTTTTGATAACAAACCAATTACAAAGGAATCCTTAAGTGTTTTTGAAAGCATATAAAGCGGTGAGCTCATGAGGTGTCCTGTTCATGCCCTTGACATTCTCCGCGAGATGATGCACTGCATCATCCACAGCCAGGCGGGTCACTGAGTTCACCCCATTAGAGTGCAGTGATTTGAGAGCAGTGAGAGCGCTTTGCAGCCTCGGCACATGAAATCCATACAGAGAGGGCATTATTCAGGGCATAATTTACTTTGCTCACACATTTTCAGTGCAATCATGGCAGAAAAATAATATTCCTAATGGACCATTGAGAGGCTGAGGAAATAAAGAAAAGTCCCACAGTGCCATGTGTTGCTATGTCACAGCTGGCTGCAGACACATGAGCTCAGCATCTAAGGCAAAATAATTCATCAAATACCAATGCACCTTTGAAACACCACATTGAACTGTAGATCTCAGTTTAATTTGAACCTGTAAATTGATCAAAATGAATAAATGTAATTCCAGAAGAACAAACTTACATTTATGTAACAAAATAGGCCATTTTTGACACATTTAATATCTGGATTATTCATAATAAAAATACCTCAGCAAACATAAAACTGTCTTTGGCAATGGCAAAACAGCATAGAACATCATCTGCACAGGATATGAGTTTATAAATATGATCAAGTTGAAGGAATGGCTCATGAATATTAATTAACTAATATGCCTGGATGTGCTAGAAAGATTACCTAGCAATGTCAATATGAAGAAAATTAATATCCATGTGCTCAGTCTCTGCCATATGGTGACATCACAACCTAACCATCATCTTAAAACTCATTCGAATGCCACTGTTAAGGTATGATATTCTCAACGTATTATTCTCTAAAGGAGTTCAGAATGGCAGCTGAAAGCAACAGCGTCAGATGTCACAGAAATGAGTTTTTTACTGCAGCTGTTCTAAAGGTCAGTATCCATCTGTAGTGTAGATCGCTGAAAGCACTGCTCTAGAGAAGGGGAATACTCACCATTAACTATCCCAGTGCCATTCTCCACTTTGCTCTTCTGAGCCGTCTTAAACTCTTTGAGGGAGAGGTAGAGCACCCGGCGGACCACTCTCTCTTCCGACCATGGGATCCCATCGTTATCATCCTGCAGAAAGGAAAGAGTTCATTTTAGAGCTCTAAAATGAAACACATGACCTAAAGTCACCTCATAAGAAAAAGAAACAGCTCTTTAAATAAACAGTTTTGGAATAATTAGTCAAACAATTGGAAAACAGGCATGATTTCATTATGTCAAACAAATGAAATGACAAACACTGAGCGTGGATGAGAAAAAAAACACAGCAAGCAAAGCTATACAGACAGAAAACTGCGCTATAAATAGTGCAGTTGGCTGCAGTTTCTCAATCCCAGCACATGTCAGAAAGCCTTTTATTACTGAATGCTCCAAAAGCAATGACAACACATGTTAGCATAACATTTGTTACCCATAGATTACCTAATGTGCTGTAGTAAGACATCTCTGTACTAGGTAGCTGAATGACCTCACTGTTCTTCACAATTCTCTCAAAGCCTCAAAACAAGTCTTTCATCCAATAATGTGCTCTCTTATAACAGCTCATTGCCTTGGCCTGTCCCCTTCACCATAAATGGGGTAACAAGCCAAGCTTGTTCTCAATCATGTCCCCTAGTGTTGCACTGGCACTACATGACCCACCAACAGACTATTCACAAGGGTAACAATACAATGGTTCAAGGGTTTTTAAAGTCATCATGAAACAGAAGTTGCAATAGTCTTTTCTTTCCTATTGTGATGTATATATCTGAGAGAAATGGCTTCTCGAAAAAAATTAGAGTTGATTTTGTCAATCACAGAATTGATTGGATGGTTGTGGTTTTCTATTGCTGTGATGTCATGTGTGTGACAGGTTGTCCCGTCCTCAGGCCAGTAAACATATAATCAGAGAAGAGATGTCGCTCGCTACAAGATGGATTTTGATTGAAGATTACGAGGGCACATAAAAAAAAAATATATATATATAAAAATCATGTGCACATATAAATCATTTATAATAAATACTGATATATTCCATACAAAAAAAAAAAAAATCTGCAGAAACTATAATTCCAAAGATTCCCAAATATAATTTGAATAGGATGCGGATGTGTACATTTTTCTTATTTTGTTCAAAGATACTGCCCATCGGAAGCTACATAAGATATTTGCATGTTGCTCAGAAAACAAAATAAGTACAATTTACCCTGATCATCCAATAGAAAATTTTTACATGATTTATCATGTTTTGTTTAGCCTTAATGAGTATCAGTGAATGTTTTCACTTGTAATAGTTGTGCATAAGCAAATATTTACAAACATATATATATATATATATATATATATATATATATATATATACAGTATATGTATATGTATATACACGTACATTTTTAAGCCATCTGGTAGCAGCCTGATAGCATGACAGGCCAGAGGCCATTCACCGAGGAATGTTGTATAGTCGTCACTGCAATCAGCATAAGAGCACCATGCTTTCATGAAGCCAGATTTGATATTTTACACGTGATGTATTGTTATCACTATAAATGGGACTTATTTTAGCAAACTGATCCTGAGAGCAAGATTCGTAATCATGCTGCCCTCCCCCCAGTGATAGCAAAAACTTGTGATGATTAGGACGATGTGAAGTGCTTGACCCCAGCTTAGGGCCTCCTCATGGCACACGAAGAAAGTGCCACTCACTAGGGAACTTCTAGTAGCCATGGAGACGGTCTTCCACAGGTCTATTGTGGCGGCCATGTGAAAGTCCCTGTCAGGGTGAACTCAAAACGATATGACATTTCACGAGCGAAGGCCAAGCTCTATTATTTATGAGATTATGCAAGTAGGGTCCCACAAAAAGAGACACTAGAAAGTGGAAGTCAATATCAATAGACTGCCAGACAGAAAAGGAAATGCTTCTCTTATAATTCGAAACCCCCAAAATCTCATCTGTCCTTAACATTGTGGTTTAAACAGTGCACGGACATAGGATACTATGGGGTAATAAGGCAATAATTATAATTTAAAAAAATATAAAAAGGCAGCCAAGCAGTCATGGAGGAACAACTGATATATATATATATATATGTATATACACTCACCGGCCACTTTATTAGGTACACCTGTCCAACTGCTCGTTAACACTTAATTTCTAAGCAGCCAATCACATGGCGGCAACTCAGTGCATTTAGGCATGTAGACATGGTCAAGACAATCTCCTGCAGTTCAAACCGAGCATCAGTATGGGGAAGAAAGTTGATTTGAGTGACTTTGAACGTGGCATGATTGTTGGTGCCAGAAGGGCTGGTCTGAGTATTTCAGAAACTGCTAATCTACTGGGATTTTCACGCACAACCATCTCTAGGGTTTACAGAGAATGGTCCGAAAAAGAAAAAACATCCAGTGAGCGGCAGTTCTGTGGGCGGAAATGCCTTGTTGATGCCAGAGGTCAGAGGAGAATGGCCAGACTGGTTCGAGCTGATAGAAGGGCAACAGTGACTGAAATAACCACTCGTTACAACCGAGGTATGCAGCAAAGCATTTGTGAAGCCACAACACGCACAACCTTGAGGCGGATGGGCTACAACAGCAGAAGACTCCACCGGGTACCACTCATCTCCACTACAAATAGGAAAAAGAGGCTACAATTTGCAAGAGCTCACCAAAATTGAACAGTTGAAGACTGGAAAAATGTTGCCTGGTCTGATGAGTCTCGATTTCTGTTGAGACATTCAGATGTTAGAGTCAGAATTTGGCGTAAACAGAATGAGAACATGGAACCATCATGCCTTGTTACCACTGTGCAGGCTGGTGGTGGTGGTGTAATGGTGTGGGGGATGTTTTGCTGGCACACTTTAGGCCCCTTAGTGCCAATTGGGCATCGTTTAAATGCCACGGCCTACCTGAGCATTGTTTCTGACCATGTCCATCCCTTTATGGCCACCATGTACCCATCCTCTGATGGCTACTTCCACCATGTCACAAAGCTCTAATCATTTCAAATTGGTTTCTTGAACATGACAATGAGTTCACTGTACTAAAATGGCCTCCACAGTCACCAGATCTCAACCCAATAGAGCATCTTTGGGATGTGGTGGAACGGGAGATTCGCATCATGGATGTGCAGCCGACAAATCTGCGGCAACTGTGTGATGCCATCATGTCAATATGGACCAAACTCCCTGAGGAATGCTTCCAGCACCTTGTTGAATCTATGCCACGAAGAATTGAGGCAGTTCTGAAGGCAAAAGGGGGTCCAACCCGTTACTAGCATGGGGTACCTAATAAAGTGGCCGGTGAGTGTATATTACTGTTCAAAAGTTTGGGGTTGGTAAGAATTGTATAAGTATTGTGAACTATTACAATTTTAAATATTTGTATATATTAATATATTTTATAAATTAAATATTATATAAATATATTTTTAAATATTAAATTAAGTGATATTATTATGTTAAATGTAATTTATTCCAGTGATGTTAAAGATACATTTTTAGCATCATTAGGCTACTCCAGTCTTCAGTGTCACATGATCCTTCAGAAATAAATCTAATATATGCTCATTTGATGTTTTTAAGGAACATTTCTTATTATTATCAATGTTGAAAACAGTTGTGCTGCTTAATATTTCTGTGGTAACTGTAATACATTTTCTAGTAACAATATAAAAGTCTTTACTGTGACTTTTGATCAATTTAATGTATCCTTGCTGAAAAAAATACAGATTTCTTTTTACAAAAAACTTTTAAACAATAATGTATTTATATATATATATATATATATATAGAGAGAGAGAGAGAGAGAGTGATAAGTAACTAAACATATATGTCTTTACTCTGTTATGGCTTTGATCTATTTCTTACTAGATTTAAAGCACAAAGCCTGTTCATGTCACCTGGGTTGCAGAACACACTCAGAACACTCAAAACACTCAGAACACAGAAAACGTATAACACGACGCTGAACAGACAACTGAACAAAGGAAACTGAGGAATTAAATACACAGGAGTAAAAGAGGAAACTAAATGAGTAACAGGTGAACTTATGTGGTGAATCTGGCACACACAAGGAAACAATATACAAATACAGGGAACAGGAACAGAACAGAACCAACACCATGAAACTAAGCAGAACAAATCATAATCCTGACAGCATTAATGGAGGACAGACGCACTCGGAGTTATGGCCAAATTCACTGTTTTTATGCCAGCACAAGGTCCGTTGCCAAATACAGAATGAGATTTGCTTACTTAATGCTTGTAAATTGACAGTTAAGTGAATGATTCAAGGATATCCGGGTCCATTACTTGATCAAGGAGCCCTGACACACCTCATAAAAGAAATGCAACAATATAATTCCACTATTTTCACTAAACATGCCTGTTGTGTTTATATACACAATGCACTACTGTACAGTGTATAGAATTTTCCATTTAAGGCAAGATCTAATATCAATATGTTAATCACACATGGTGCATGAGTCCAATATCTCCAAAATCAATTAAACATAAGATTCATGTTGCTCATTTAACTGTCATAATCAGTTCCTCTGTGAAAACGGCCTCATATGCATCCTCCTTTTAACCACATCAGTTTGCTATTTGTATCCGTGTAGCTCCGGGCAGCTCTTACAATTACACCAGCATCTCTCACCACACACATCTCTGTGTCACAAGTCATGTGCTGGTTTTTATTACGCTACCAGCAACCATGTCAATTATTGATAAAGGTGTATTGTGTCTTAACTCACGTGGATAAGTCTGTCACCGTAAGCAAAATGCAGATCTTTCATGATAGCGACATATATCGGTTGAATTAGAGGACTTTACATTTGTTTACATTTGGAGTCTATAATCCAAAGATCAAGTGAGGCATCATAACTGCAACAAAGAGCAAAAAGCAAACAACAAAGGACAAAGTCAGAGGAATAATAGCAGAATAATAGGCTGCAGACTGAGGCCTGTTTAATTCCAGTGTGTGGGTTTGATTTGCATACAGATAACTTGTCAAACGCTTTTATTAAACATGATGGCTTTAATGAGTAATTGCTCCCTTATGGATTGCACACACTTGAATCCAAAAGCAACTAG